CTGAGATTTGTTCATGGCCTGTTACAAGAGAAATGAGACATGTTGACAATTTTGAGGGTTATAATAGGTCGAAAAAATTTACTTTTGTCTTTAGATGTTTAAAAAAAAAGACAGATTTTAGTTTTATTGTTACATCAGGAATTTGTAGGCTCCTTGCGATTGGTCAGTTTCGGTTAAAAGCAGCCATTTCTCTGGTCAAATTTATTTGTGTTAAATTGTTTACTTTTATACAAGACTATATTTAGGTACAAGCTTTTTAATTAACACAGAATAATTTACCAACATGAGTCCTATTTGCAAAATTGTGGTGAGCAGTGCTTAAAACAACCGCTGCTGACCAGTGTTTATAATTTTAATATTCTCAATAATCTGCTGTAATGAGATTTTTACACATGTGATCTATAGACAGTTTCAACTAAATTGCTCAGTACACCTGCTTAATTAATAAGCTCTACATAATAACATGTTCTGCGAAATATATTAAGTAATTAAGTAGTTATTATTTAGATTTTATTATTATTTAGATATTATTGTAGAAATTGTATTTCTGTAAGTTAATATAGGTAGTAGAATAATTACATTGATTTTACAATTTTTACTTTTAAGATCTATAAATTAGAAATAAAAAAGTTACTAAAATTCAACTCAAAACTGAGGAACTATACAGATTCTCATACATTACAATAATTGCTTTGTTTTTACTCATCTGTTAGTGTTATCTATATATGGCAATAATGTCTGGATCATGATTTGGAACAAATGAAATTTATTATCTACGTTGTAATGATGACTATCAAAAACAGCTACGATAAAAAACAAGTCACTGAATAACGATTCTACGAAGTTCGGTCAGCGTATTCTTGATGGACCATACAATATTGACACCATTTTTTATTGCATAATTTTATGAATCTGTTTTTGTATTTTTGAGACAAGCATTGTTTATTGTTAATATCCAATAATTTTAATGTTTAAAACGAAGGTGTTTTAAATATTAAAATATTTATTTGTTGCTTTTATTGTATAGTATTATTTTTTTACAAAGTATTTCTCAATAACACAAACTTATACGACTAATTACATAGCGAAAATACCGTGCGTTCATTAATTATTTAGATAAGTGGCGGCTGTGGACGTTAAATTGACATATTCTGATTGCCTTTGATACATTAGTTGCGTTAGTGTTTCAATCGTGAAACTTTCGAATTTCTTGAAAATAAAAGTGCAAAATGATTTTCTCTGTGGACAATAAAACATTGATGATTGACTCCCACTTCAGAAATGGAGTTACCACTGAAGGCCAACGGCATGATGACACTGTTTTACAAAAATTCCAACAAAAATTTCCAGAGTTTAATTTCATCGTTGCTGATTTTACAACGTTGTTAGAAACACTGGACGAGTATTTCGAGAAACAGGTAGTGTCCACCGCAAAAAAGATGCTGGACGACCAACATTGTGTACCAATGAACTCATAAAAGATGTTGAAGAATTCATGAAAAATAATCCTTCAACTTCCTTGAGGCATCTGCCGGAAGAAGTCGGACTTTCCGCGGGTACATGACATAAAATTGTGAAAAAAGTTCCACCTTTTCCCGTACAAACTTCATGCTTATCGCGAAGTTTTGCCGACGATTTCAGTAGCCGTGTTGCCTATTGCAGATGGTTTCTTGAACATCTCAGTGATGTTAACTTGCTGGATTTAACATTCTTTTCTGATGAAGCTAGGTTTCATCTCTCCGGTACTGTCCGGTACTGAGTTTATGTCAGTTTGAATCATAATTATGAGATTTTGTTTTGTAGGTTATATTAACGCTCGAAATATAAGATGTTATAGTGCTAAAAACCCACTTGAATTTGTACGGTGCGTAATGTCTCGCAGCGGTATCATTGGACCCAAATTCTTTGAGGAAACTAACAGCACAAAGATATCGAACAATATCGTAACTGGCTTTGTTCAAGAGCTAGAGAATGATGAACTCCAAGACAGATTTTCTCAACATGACGGTGCCACGACGCATACAGTAGGAGACAATTTAAGTTTTTTACATGAATTCTTTGATCATAGAGTGATAAGTTTACATTCAGTTCCTCACTACCCCCCAACGTCACCAGACTTAACCCCTCTGGATTACTTCCTGTTCGGTCATTTAAAAAACACAATTTTTAAAACTCCCTTTCACACCATTGAAGACTGAAAGACATAATTACAAAATGTGTTTGAAAACATGAAAAATCGTGCCGATTTATGTATACAGGAGAATGGATACCATTTCCAACAGTTTCTTTAACTTTGTTTACGCCTTTTAAGTAAACTTATTCACAAATCTGCAGAAGTTATTTTCTTTCACTAGTTTTTCTATTTTTCAACAAGCAAGAGCTAACCCTCGTTTGTAAATGATTTATATTAGTATGCAACCAACATTACACATGTCTTTGTTAAATTGCGTAATCTGAAAAGTATCCGAAACCGAGAAGATATACGTTCAAAATCGCACAGCATTCTTTGATCTCAATAATTAATGAATGCACAGTGTAACATCGAATAATTCTGACTCGACTTAATTCGTACTCATTAATCGGCTTCGCTGGATTAAACTAGTGTACCTATATATGTAATATATAAGATAAGGGTAGAGCAAACGATGACAGCTGACAACAATTTTTGATGCAAAATTCCATCAAATAAATGTCAAAAAACAGTAGCGTCGCAAGTGGACAAGATTTAGAAGAAATAATTAAAATGATTTAATTAAAAATCAATTAATTCAGGTTTCTTAAATTTTCAGCCAACTCTGGCATTGTGTGGCTCTTGCTGGACCATTTCAATTTCGGATCGACGGGACTGCGTGAATTTTAAGTTTTTTGTCCAAGATTATCCATTGATTCCTTGCAAAATGATCGCCATATACTCGCCCCTGTCCTGGAAGTTCGACAACATTTAGTTTAGTTTTCCATTGGGATCGCGCAAAAGATCCCCGCGGAATGCTTTTAAAGATTTTCCGTGTTCTGAAGGGTTATGACCTTTTATACTGCAGCCGGTCATTTTTTAAATAAAACTTGACGAACGTCTCTATTCAATGTCAGCTTGACACTTACAGAACTGCATTAAATTTCTTAAAATTTAAATAGGCCTTGGAAAAAATGATCCACCAATTAAAATGTATTCCTTCATTTACCTTGTGTCGGTTCCATTCCTCTTGTGAATACTTAATTATGCCTAAGCCCTTTTGGTGCATGAATGACAAATTTTTAACACACGACAAATATTTCAGATTTTGAGTATTTCAAATGTTAAAATGACGGGTAGACAAATATATGTACAAATCCCTGTAAAGTAGTCTCACCAACCTTTTTCAATTTTAAACAAAAATTTAGACGACATTTATTAAAAAATAGATTGCAGCAACCAACTTTCTAAGTAAATGTTAAAAATTATTTTGTGTCAGTCAATAGTTATCTGTGGGCCTTCGTCATTTTTCTTAGCAGTTTTTACAATGCTCCCTTTCGGCTGGGAAATCTGGTTTTGAACTATTATTTAGGCTTTCAAACGTGATATTTAAAACGACTACATTAATGTTGCTTATTAATGTCCGCTGGTATTTAATTATTAATTTAGTTAAAATAAAACTTCACAAAATTATGACTTTTCCGTTTAAATTCCAGAGCCAGTTAACCAGCAGCAACATTTTCTTATTAGACAGGAAAAACTTCACGTATTTAAACTTATATGTGGGGTAAATCATTATATTAAAATGTCGGGCCACAAAATTTTCTTTTTAAAGTATGAATAGTGTGATTTTTTTATTGTTATTTTTCTTTAATTAGTAATTATATAAATATTTTTCGGAAAATGCGTCATTTTCGTAAACTTTGCATTCAAAGTTAGTTAATTAAGGATAATAATTGAAATTTTGAAAATTGTGTTAATTTTTAACAATAAAACACATAAAAATAGTATTTGCAGTTTTATTAATTTCAACTTTAACAATTTCAGTTTTACAATAAATACATAACTAAAAATATTACAAGTATTGTCAGCTGAAAAAATATTTTTCTACAAGAATATATTTACAAGCTTTTTAATTAACGCAGAATAATTTACCAACTGCACTGATGTTTGCAAAATTGTGGTCAGTTAGTGCTTAACAATCGCTGATAATTAAATTCTAAAAAGGTCATTAATGAGGCACCATCAATAAGTGTTTGTAATTTTACTATTTTTAATAATCTACTGTAACAAGACTTTTAAACATGTGATCTACAAAGACAGTTTTTCAACTGAATTGCTCAGTATATCTGCCTAATTAATAATCTCTACATATTAACATACTCTACGAAAAGTGTATTTCTATAACTTAATACAGGTTGTATATTAATTATGAATTATGATTTTCGTGTTTCATTTAGGAACCAAAAACAAAAAAGTTGGCAAAAAGTCGAATCAAAACTAAGCCTACCTGTGTACTTTCTCATGCAAATAAATTGTTGCTTTTTTTTTTTTTATTTCGCAGTAATGTGTGTATCATGATTTGGTACAAATGAAATATTATCTACGCTGTGATGCAGACTATCAAAAACTATTACGATGGCTGAACAACGATGCTACGGAGTTGGGTCAGCGCATTCGTAGATAAATTCGCCTGAAATTGCAGTATCTTGATCAAGTACAACGTCGACAGCATTTCGTACTTACTACATTATTTTTATTAGTCTACTTTAGAAAAAATCATTAGTATTATTGTTAATGCGTAGTAATTTTAATTTTTAAAATTGACGATTAATGATGGTGTTTGATTTTTAATTTCAGTTATTTAATTGAATGTATACCTATTGAAAAATAATAAAAAAATATATAATCCGAAAATACTCACGTACTGAAAAAATTATTGTTAGATAATTATATATAATTCAATTTAAAAAAAAATCGTAGATTTTATATAAAAATCATACATATATATGCAGAGGAGTCTAAAAGAAAGCTGTTGAGAAAATTTTCAAAAAGTCAATGGAAATAAAATAAATTTTATACATAAACATAAACACTAATTTATTTATTGCTATTGCTGCCTACTGTTATATTTTACTGAAAAATTCTATATTAATTTAAATTATATAATTTAAAAGCTGAATACTAAATAGGTAAGATATTGTACATTTACAAATACTTATTTTTCAATATTTCACTAAATGGTGCAATAATGTGGTGGTCTATGTTCAGTCTATTTTAATACATTTTAAATTATTCAGAAAGCTTGTGTATTACAAAAAAATTAAAATTCCTATAAAATATATTGATTATAAAGGTAGCAAAATATCTAAGTAATTCATAAAATAATTTGATTTACATTCGATAATTTTTCAACTATTTCGTTCAGAGTAAATTTGTTGACCTTGTTCTAAAGCGTTTTTCAGATTTTAATTGTAATGAACTGTGGAAGCAGAAACTCTTTCGACTTTGTGAAAATAAAAACATACACTCAAAAATATTAAGTGATACCTACATGAAATATCGAATCATTTTTTGATTTGTTTTTGTGAGTTTAGAATTAAGAGCCATTGTTGCAAATTATACCTATTTGTTCGACGAGAAACGACAGAAACACATTTCATTTCGATATACTTTTATTTAAATAACAAATAATTAAGTAAATAAATTGAACATACCGAAAGAGAAATGTGATATTTTTGTGTGTATACTTTAGTCATACGTTTGTTTTAAATTTACGATGATTATCATATTTCTGAAGGTATATTTTGTATTGATTGATTATTATTAATTTCTGTATTATTAATGAAATATTATATTATATTATTATGTATATGTATACAAATTTCAAGAATGAATAGCCTTTTTATTGTAATTCGAAATATGGAACAGGAAAAACTCTTATTTGTGTCAGAAGATTTTAGATTATGTTTTTTTAGTGAATCTCACATATGCCAATAAAATTAATAGTACTCATTAAAAATTTTGATATTTTACATATTTATTTCATAAATCCTATCTTTAACAGAACACTGTTAAACAGAAAACAGTTTTACTGTAGGTATTCCTACAAACCACAAAAGAATAATGTTATTGATTGAAAGTGGTAACATTATACTGACATTAGCAATAATAAAAATGAATTTTCAATTTTTTAATCAGCAAAAGTTGGAAATACGTTTACTGAAAATAACTTATAAAAAATAAAACCATTACAACAACGTTGGAAGTATAAATTTATTTTTTCTATATATTTTTTTCATATTCGGATTCCGTATAAACCTAGAAGTTGGATTCGTATTTTTTTTTAATTTTAATTAGATCTGATAATTTAATTTAAACCTGTTTATTACCCTTTTAATGTATGTTGTAATTAAGTACATAGTATATGCTTACATTGTATAAGAAATATTACGTATGTGTTTAATGTGTGAATGAAAACTTTTCTAATTTGGTCAGGCGTAGAGACATTTATCATATCTTAACAATTGTTTTAACCTAAACACGCGATTTTTTGGATGTGTTTAAAGTACCGAACAAAGTGTCTTCACTTCAATTGGAAAAGTTTTCGATAACTTTTTAAACAGATTATTCAGTAAGTTGTGTTGAACTCATTGTCATCATGCGATTCGATGTAAGTGGTTTTGTTATAGAAGTTTGTTTTTGTAATAAGGTGAAGAAAAAATTATAGAATTAACAATAAAAAATGTCTGAAAAAAATTTTATTTACGAAAAGTCCGATTTTATCTTCCGTATTTAACGAGTTTATTGGTTACAGAAAAATTAAAATTTTGTATTTTCTTTATGCCTGTGGTCTTAAGCCCACTGTATATAAAGTTAATATAATAACATCGTATAGATTTTTTACGCTATTTTCTAATTATGCCTTATTCTGTAATGTTAATTGAACATCTATCCTTCATTTCAAAGTTAAGGTCACCCTTACCTCTTTTTAGAATCAGTAACTCATAAGCTGCATATACCTATAGGTACAGTGTCATTACATTACATCACAGAATTACAGACTTTTGCATCAAACTACTTCAAAAGTGCTTTATATATTAAATTAAGCTACAGAAAATTACAAAACATCAATTTGTTTAGTAAAATCGTTAAACTATTACTGAACGTACAAATGATTAAGTATTCAAGCGATACCTGTTATTATAATGTTTCACTGGTAGCTTTAAAAACTGTCTTATAAATTTCACGTCAATGTATTTACAATATAATATTCTTTAAACAATAGTGCAAAGGAGTGCTCTTGTTTTTGCAATTTCCACGTAATCTGATCCTTTAATGAGTAAAATTAATAACGCCATATTATTTTATCAGTTGGAATTGATTTAACGGACCAAATTTAACACCACATATTTTAAGTTAATCTTTAATGAATGTTCCAGTTACTTAAGAAGGCCATTAGTTAATATTCCATATTTTTCTAAAACTTAGGCTTCATAATTCAGCACCCACGACAAAAATGATTTTAGTATGAAACACTGTCGTACTGTAAACTGTAATTTAATCTAATTTCATTTTTATGTTTATGATATGTTTAAGCATAGGCCTCCACAGTTTTAGAGAGAGTATTTTATTTTTTAGGATAAAGTGCAATAAACTATTTTGCTGAAATATTTTAAAGCATCCATATTAATTTGCTATGAAGTTCTCATAATTCTTTGTCCACCTTAAAAACTCTCGAAAAGATACTATGTGTTAATAATATTTTAGGATTTTATGTCTACGTATTATAAGGTAACTTATAAGTTACTTACAATATAATTTACCAAATAAAAAATACATGTTTGAAATTTTTTAATTTAAAATTCCAAAACTTCTTACTTGAAGTTAAACTCCGTGTCATTAATTTATAATTATGGTGAAATTTTCTTTATACTTTATTGGTTTAAAACTGGATAAAATAATTTAGTAACTTAGGATTAAAGCTTAATTAATAATTACCCTTTCCAAAGTATTGTATAAAACTTACCAATTTCCAATATTCGGTCAATAAGAATTGTCATGGTATGTAACATAAAGAAATCATATAATTACTAAAAAAAATATTTTAATTTGGTAGTATTAATTTGTTTTTGTAATGTATTTCTAAAAACTTTTATGCATTGCACTGCAGTGGAATGTAATGTACAATTAAAAATAACAATATAGACAGACGCTGTTTAACAGCCGAAACATTGTTTAGCTCTATTACGAAAGTAAAATTTCGACAGTTTAAGTTCTTCTCTTTCCCTTCCTATGTAGGTCCATAGTTGTTTGATTATAATTACAGCTAATTAGGGAAAATAGTAATAGATTAATACAACAAAGAACAAACTAAACAAAATATTTTTGACAATCATATACCGAGCAACTGTGCCGAACACACTAAAACGTTTTACAGCCTGGTGTGTATTTTTTCTTTTTTGGATTAATTAAAAAACATTATTTTCGTGAGTGGAAATTTAAACAAACAACAAGGAAACAGATCATCAACTTTTAAACAAAAAGCTACTTGTAGCAGTTTTACATTTGATTATAGGTTATTTTTGATGTATAAAAAATAAAAAATATTTTCGGTGGAAAAGAGTGTTACAAAGTCAATGTCAGTTTAAAAAGCGAACGTTTATAATCGTACTATATATACCCACTGCCAGGCAAAATAAAGTTGTTATAAATATTAATAATACGATACCTAACTCTAAATAACTCAAACATAAAAATCTGGAAAATTTGGAAATATCTACATGTTACAGATTTAGTAGTTCAAAGGTACTGTTACATTCAAATGTCTCTAGTATTTCTAAGTTGAATAACAAACCAAACTACAGGTGGGAGTAAAAACACTATAATGCCACAGTAAACTTTGCCATACTATAACTAGAAAGAAGTAAACATTATTTTTGTATTTAATTCGATTCTTAAATTCCGAGTTTGACATGTTCAAATGACTTAAACAAGAGTTTCAAAGACACCTAAGGTATTATAATTATTTGAAATAAAAGAAGTAAAAATACCAAAGCACATTGACATTTTTGACATAAAAACGAGATGACAAAAAAATTCATAGTGGAGATAAGATTCTATTCTCTTAGAAAATTAGAACGGATTACTGTGTGAAAAAATGTATCATGATGAATACATACTCAGACGAAATCACTGCATGTCTGTATAGATCACAAATAGAATATCAATAAAAATATTTAACTGAAAGTTAACTCAAGGGTACCAATACTTTCGCATTCAGCAGTATAAACCACAATTTATACACAAGAGGTTTTTTCCCACGACATATGTAACAATTTACATACTAACATCACAACAGACGTGTAGGCGTTCAGTTTTATTGGTTCTTGCTCTGATGCGCCGACCATGTTACTCAATCAACAATCAACACCTAAAATTTCTAAATAAATGTCAATTATTTATGGTTTTATAGTCACCTTACAAAAATAAACAGCGTACCACTTATACTCAGCAGGTATGCATTGAACTGAGTTATAAAACCTTATTGAGTCCTAAATTGCAAGAGGAATTAAATATGTCATCTCTAAAGGGATATAAGTACTTATATATAATCTTCATCATACGTATTACTAATTCATTGAATCATAGTCACAGAATGTCAAGCAAATATTGTTTGCCGAAGTATACATTCGATTTTTTAACAGAACGAGACAATAAACAAATAAATATTAATTACACTATTTAGTTCTTTTTTAAAATCTTAAAAATTTATCTCTGGCTACACCGCACTTCATATTTTTTCCTATATACATTTAAATTACGCAAACTGACAGACACCATTGGAAAGTTGGTAAGCTTTACAACTGCCTAATTTTCGGTAATAGTATGTGACACTTTTCTAATAAAAGTATGATAGTGTATCTAAATACCTACCTAGCATTTCCTATTATAAAAAATGTATATGTAGTATAAATCTGACTTTTGATCGTCCAAAACCTTGGTATAGCTAAGATGTGATCACGTTAAAATAGATGGCAAATCGATTCACTAACAATGCTACATTACAATCGTGCCATTTTGGTTAGTTTTTGTTGTGTTCAATAGTACTAGTAAAGTTTAGAACACAAGAAACTTTAATTTGTTTCTCAAAGTGTTTCTCTTACAAACTACAACACTGTTTCAAAATCCAGCTTTCATCAAACATTCCACATCTTCGTCCGCCGAATTATTTTCATCTGATGATGATGTCGATGGAGATGAAACATTTCCTATTATTGTACTTCCTAGTGTTTTTTGTTTGGAGACGCTAGGCCGAGGAGTTAGTCTTGACTGAGTAAACCATGATGGCCTTCTCAAGGAACTTCCAAAAGACTCTTCTGGGATAGTATCACGGGTTATTGACCTGAAGAAATTGTTTCTAATAAGTAACGGTCGTTTAACAATTTGTTTAAAACTAACGCGACATGAAAAAAGATGACACAATGATGAATGGAAACAAAATTATACTTAAAGTTTTCCGTAAGAAAATGATGACAGTGTTTATACAAAATATTTAATCTTTATTACCTTACATATATCATTAAAAATACATTTTTTTTTAAATGTAGGCACATCTGTAACTTTAGATGATGTTTACAAAATTTAAGGTAAACACTTAATGAAAGTTTCAAACTCTCTTAAGATTCTCTGTAGAGACGAATATGAAATGCAAAATCATTATTGTAACTGCAAATGTAATTTTTGTAATAAATAAAACAAATTACGACATATAAATAGTTACTTGCAAAAACTTTTATTATCTATCATTGCAAATACATGTCCTTTCTAATGTCGTTTGTTTTATTTATAAAATGGCTAAATAAGCATAAAAATAGCGGTTTTAAAATTTATGTTTATTCTTAAACAAAAAATACAAACTTATTCATAATGCATAATCGTTATAATAAACACTTGACAAATTCAATAATAAAATAGGTAATAAAATATGCGCATCGGAAAAATAATTTTACAAAAAAAAAACTTGTTAAAAGAAATGTAGTCCTAAAAAATAAGTTAGCAAAATTAGATAAACAAAAAAGAGAAATCAGCAATTATTTTAGCATTGTTATCACAAAATCCAGATTAATTTTAATCATTTAAATTGCTTACTAGAATTAAAATATGTATTTTATATATTAACATTCTGATATTAAATAATTGATTCTAAAGTGGTGAGAGACAAAGTATATCAAACGTATATTAGTATAGGTATATGTATCAATTTTTTTAGAAGGCAATGACAAGAGTCGTAAAATTATTATCATTGTTTAAATCAATTTAATCTTGGACTTTTAAAAGTTATCACCTATTCATTGGTGTTAAAGTGATCAACAAAATAAGATTTCTGTTATAAAAAATCCAGACCCATGTCAAATTAGATTTGAAACGCACAAATTTTCTGTTAGACTGAACTATGGGCTTGGACTATGACAAAATAACGCGACTTTCAGATTTGAATTGTACACAAAACAATTAGACAAGGTCTGGATTAATTTTTGCTTTGTTAACGCGTGATATCGTCACTTAAAACATTTGACATACTCTGTTTTTATAGCTCTCTGGTAAAATAAAAATATATTTTTTTATTTCTCCATAATACTGCGTTTAAATGAAAAACGTTAACGAACAAAAAAAGCCAGATTTACGCAAAATATTTCTTAAAATTTTTTGTTGTTCACTGCTTATCAGAATGACAGAGCAAAATATGAATCGTATTGAATAGATTAGGAGGGAACATGAATACGTGAGAAACATATCCAGTGACATGTTCAAAGTAAATCGGGAAATGGCAAAGTAAATTGCAAAAACCAAATTTTTAACATACAAGAAATGTATAGGAATTTGGGATGTACGTTTTATGAAAATTTAGTAGGTACAATGCCTACAAACATTAACCAGAGTATTCTTTTTTAAGAATAAGCACTAAATACCAAAATATAGACTGCTGTCGTTTTCTGTATAAAATAATCTATCTGGTTTTTATTTTACTGGAATAAAAAATAAGTATTTTGCCATTATTGCTATTATTAATGAAAAGAAAACCTACTCCGACTACAGTTTATTTTACACTTTGTCTAGCTTGATTAAACTAACAAGATTGCGGTTCCACCTTACGTTTTGTTCGTTATCGTTGTTCACGACAAATGTGTAGTGCAATAGTGGAATACAAGCTGCAATTACGTTTTGCAAAAATTGTATATAATAATTTACCCTAACGCCTTTATTTATTGTGTTATTTTCTCCCTGAGACATGAGTTGTAAAATGCAACACCAAGTCATAAAATAAAATTGGTTCTACTTACAGTGCAATCTGTAATTATTATTTGTACATAATAGAAGTAATGAAACAGAATTATTCTACTGTGTATCTGTTTCTACCTCCTTGCTGCTTAAATCGAAGTCGGTCGAAAATTGTTACTTTGTTGTTGCTGTAACTGCACTGAACGTAATGGACGGTGCTGCGTCTTGTGAGCAATAAGTTAATTTTTGCATAAATGTACAACGTCTAACATTCAAAGTATTAGGTGTTTTATTTCTTACATTGTATTGTGTACAAATGTCACATATGAGTACCCTCATCATTAACACACCCGCTAAGTTCCAACATGGAACCGCGACGGGCTTGCCTCCGTTGCCCTGGAGTTTGAGGCGGTTGAGGAAGCGGTGGTATCGTTCCGGTCTTTTGAAGAACTCCCAATGGATCGGATTCTCCGTCTTCGATTAGAAGGACTGCATTTCGTCCCAGAGAACTACGCCGTTCTTTCTGTGGTGTTGACTCGGTGCTACTTAAGTGCTCGGATCCTAAACTTTCTCTTCTAAATAGACCGATCACAGATGAACGTGGGTTTTCTAAACCACCTAAAAAATTGTTGTTATATAATTACACAAATCTAAAAAACGCTACACAAATTTTTAAATTTCTTGTCAAATTGTAGAATTATTTGATTAGCACTTTGGTAGATTTTCAATTAATAATAAACTGCAATGCGTAAACTGGGATCATTTGTATGAAAGATGAATGATTAAATTTTATAAGATAAAGTGAAATCATGCCCACAACTACTTTTCAGAAATTTAGTTAACAACTCATATGTTTTAATCAAGGCCAACTGAATCCATGACGCTTGGCGCGTCATAAGGCCAAGTCACTCGGCTTTTGAAAGATTATGACAAGTTTAGAAAGTGGCGTCACCTTGTGAAACTTTTAATGATTACGATTATCGTCAGCGTCACTCTAGTAAACATTTTGTGTCACTTACTGTCATTCGTTTTTTTTTTTAATTCAAAGTACAGTAATTATTACCACAAACAAAAGAGAATGGACAAAATTAGAATAAAACTGACAAGAATTAAGTAAATTATTTATACTTTTGAGATTTTTCTGCTTTGAGGTTTGTGATCTAAAATTAGTTTTCTTTTTAATGAATCAGTCTTTTCTAGGCAAATGTTGGACAAAGCTGGTTTTGCGATTATTGTCAAAACCATAATGCTGATCTCATTTTGGTGCTGCCTACAAACCAATAAATAATGTTTTTGTAAAGTGGGCTGTAAAATCTTGATCAGTTGACCGCATGTTTTTTCTTTTTTTAAATAAGGTAAAATGTCCTGTATTACATCGGCGATTCTCTTTACAAGCCCCACAAAAAGTTCATTCGGATACACTAATCCACCATGATCCTGAAGAGTTATTAATTTCAAGAGAGGTCCAGGCATTGTAGTTGACACTAATGGGGCAATGCAGTCATGACATTGATTTTTTTTTGTAATTTCATTATTATATATCCAGATAAAAAGGCTACTGATGCAGAATAGAGATTCATTTCAGGTATTTCATTTCTTTGCAAGGAATGGATTTTAAAGCGTAAATCCGTAGGCAAAAATAATTCTTCTACATCTTCTTCGGCAAATTCAGCAACTGTTGATCTTTGATGGGAGAGTTCATTGCGGCTGATGTGACTTAAAGTTCTTGCAGTGTTGGCAGATGACGAAGATTTTAGAATTCCAGTTCTTAAAATTTGTCGTAAGGCATATTCAGCTGCACGAGCGTCAGTAGTATCATTTGAGCCTCCTTTTAAACGAATATGCGAAAATGTCGCTTCCACAGCATCTGAACTAAATGAGCGAGTTAACACATAATAAAATCCAGCTTGAGAAGAAATTGGACACATAAAAATGTACTCTTTACAATAAATTTTAGAGCATGTGCTGTTTCGCTGCTTAAACATTTATATCCTGTGCTGGCTGAAGTGGACTGCATATCATCTATGTAATTTTGGAAAGTAGTATTCAACCAATGGAGGCGTTGATCTGAAATGTTTACATATGGGGCAAGGTTGCTATCTAATGCATGAATGTAATGTCTTCTACTTGAGATGTTATGGACTTGAAAAAATGGAACATATTTTCCATATACAAAATAGTTGCATCACTATCAACAAAGTCTTCATATTTCTCTTCTTTTAATAATTTTAGTGCTGAGGTAACCGTTGGGGAGAATATCTATCCGTACAGCCCGCAAAACATTCATTTTTTCAAGATTTGAAGGATAGAAATGCTTTTTTGTAAGATATCTGACGGGTTTTAAAGGCCATCCTCTTTGCAAACCGTATAAGGCCTTTAAATAGGACGAGGAGATAATACCGGTTGTCGAATTCATATTATGACTTAAAAAAAAGGTTCCTGGCATTTTTAATGGCATGGCAATAGTCAAATGATAAAAATATGGGCATAGGAAGATATGGGTGATTAAAATAATTTTCTAGAGTTCCTCCACACAAGTTCTTGAACAAAGCCACATTGGACGGATGGTTATCTGTTACAATGCGTAATACCATAAAACCCCAATCTGTAAGAAGTTTAATAACTTGCAAAGTTAAAGAATGAAAATCAGAGGCCGGCATTGAAGAATGGAAAAAGTACCCAGTTACGATAGTGAAGGATGCTGACAGACCATTTGCCACAAAACACGCCATTTTATTTGCAACTTTGGGATGTTCTGTGATAGAATTGGAGTTAATGGTTTCAAGACCATAAATATAATGTTCTGTTCTACTGTAATACATTTTTTCTTTTATTGACATGTCGTCAATAATTAACGAACATAATCTTGGAACGGGATGCTTCTGCGCATAAACGTTCCTTGATTAAATTATTTTGTCCATTAAAATTACCAAGGTGTCTAACTATCGTCGATCTGGATGGTAATTTAACTAAATTTTTATGGCAAAAATCATAACCCTTCGGTGAACAATATCTCCACACTGTACAGAGACGAACAGACAATTCGGACCATCTAGGAGATTTCTTGTTATAGTTATGAAGAAGATCTAGTAAAAATATGGTTTTTTCATCTGAATTCTCTGCATCAGTGTAAATTTTTTCCAGTGCTTCGATGCTTTGTGAATGTTTTTTCAACTTGTTTTCAATTTTTTTAAATTCTGCAGCACAGCGGGCATGCGATCTCTTTTCATTTTGCAGTTCCAAAGTAGGTGTTATAATTTTCTCGTAAATCTGCAATTTCATCAGAAGATTCTGCTGTTTTATTTTCACTAATAATATGAGTAATAGACAACAATCATTAACAATAGTAAAAAAAAAATCGTGGGAGTCAAAACCACGTCAAAACCCTTCGCATTTGGGTTGGGAAGTTACGGTTTTATACTGGTTTTTATGACTGGGGATAGAGGACACCACTTTCTAAACTCCAAGGCTTGCTTCGTGAAAACCTCATTTTTAGGGAGTGACTTGGCCTTATCACGCGCCAAGTGTGATGGATTCAGTTGGCCTTGGTTTTAATATAATGCATATGTATACGTCTACGATGTAACTCAATTTGTAGTAAATATTATCATTTTAACTAATTGCTTGTAATTTAGTTAACTTTTTAGTAATGCTTACACAAGATGTCTGAAAAAATAATACCTAAGTTCCATTAATTGAGCATCTGCTGCGTAGTCACAATTTATTATTCTAAATATCTAATTAGTACGATCCAAACCACGGAACATGACACACATTTAACGCCAACTTCAAAGATAAAACTCCCGTTACGCATCTGTACCATTTAGAGATAGTCTAATTTATATTAATTGCTTTAATAATAATCGCAGAAACTCTGCAAGTTTTTAAACTTAATTTGTAAACTAATTAAACATGTTCTTTACTGATTAGAGCCGCACTTTCTGTGTTTCTGAGGCACAGCAAGTTGTAGAACGCTAAGCAAGCATGAAATTACTTGGTGTTCATTAAATTGATTTAATTTGAACTACATCCTTTAAATTATTGTCCTGAAAGTATAAAAGACGTGAAAAAAACTGTTTCTCCTTAAAATATATATACTGGTATATAGTTGATAGCACACGACATTCTATATGCAATAATTTTTTCTTTTAGAAGGTACAGGCACAAGTATGTCAAAACAAAAACAAGCCATTGCCACTTAATTTATAATACAGTATTTAAGTCAGTAAAAAATCAAATGACATTATTTTCTTTTAATGTAATTAATATACTAAACCACTGACATTTTTTCAAATGACAACGTAGATTTTTTAATTTACTTACATAGAGGACTTTTTGCTATAACCAGCTTCGAAATATAAGTATCCCCTAACATAATTTTAAAATAAACTACTTTTGATATATTTTTTAAATGACTTCTTTAAATTTCTGGGAATATAAAACAGACAAAAAAGTAAATTTTAAAATCTTTGAAAATCTGTATGTTAATATTAAAACTCCGTCTACGACTTTAGGTATTACATGATTTTTTGAAAGAATTTAAAGATTAAGTCTGATTCATGTATCTTTACAAACACGTGACCAAAGTATGGTATACGCTGAGAACTATTGCAATGACGGTCTTTGTTTTATGCGTTACAAAGACGAACAGCGTTACGAATTACTTATTATGTGTCTACATATTATGCTACCCAACGTGCCCGTTACTCTATTTCATAAAATCCCCTGACTTGACACACTTTTGGTGTGTGCGATACTGGTGTAGCCAAATGACGGATTTTAGTTAAAATTTATGACTTTTTCGTCAGTTGTCATGGTCGGTTTTAGATTTTCTTCAGTGTTTTTGACCGTGGTTACTAATTGCTTTTCTCTATTTTCCAAAACAGTCTAATCAGAACTAACACAGACTTTAATATTTGTATTGTTTGTTTTGTATTTCTGTTTTGTTATTGTTTATCTCTTCGTTTCAGCCAAAGTGAACATGCCCGTAAAACCTTTGAGCTACGCAGAAGATGGTAGCCAATCTCATATAGTAAAGTATTGTGCATATGTGGGAGCGGTCTTTAGGTAAATGTGTTGCAAATGCATGGACAAAAATATATAAAGTTTTCAATGAATGAAATGAATGAGAAATATTATAGAATGAAATTACAATAGAAGTTGGTGATGATTTTAGAGGTGACACAAGTGAGGACGAATTATATTTTAGTTTATTATGTTTCAAATATGTAAATGATTAAAATCTTTCAGCTAGTTTTCGACATAGTCAATGTGGTTTTTATTTTAAGGTAACGTCATCTTGGTGTTTAAAATATAATACGTTTTGAAGATAAATTCATTTGCATCACTTTTTATAGACTGACCTTTTTAAATAACTTGGATGCCTTATGTGGTAAATCTGTAACCATGTTTTCTTAATGAAAAAGAAAGGCCCTACGCGAAATTAGTACTCAAATTTTTGTGTTTATCGAATAATGTTTTTTTTTTGGTTTGGCTCTGTAAAAATTATTTGCATTTCAGCTTCAGTTTGTTAAACAGTAAATTAATACGCTAAGGTTCTAAGTTCAGCTCTGACTAAATACATTTTTTCGGCGGTCGCCCTCTTGCGGAAGATAATAGGCAAACGAGCGTCTCTTGTATATTGTCAAGAACGGATCTCAGTTTGTATTCGAATATGGCGACAAGATTAGATCCATGTACATGTGTGTTACGTAATAAGGTGCGCATCACATATGTACCTACATGCAGGGAACTCCTATTCCTTTTAAGGGCATGTTGTTTCAAAAGAAACTAATGCATTACATTAAGACAAACTAAAAGGAATAACCTCAATATTAGTGTACAAATTGAACTAATTCCTCTGCTCTGCAAACCCTTAGTACTGGGCTTGCGTGTATAGTTTAAATTTTAACGTAAAACATTCCATCACATCCATGTCTTTTTGACGTTACAATTACAGACATGCTTTTGACTAACAAAGTGCCACTCCAGTTCTTAGTTCATACCTTCGCTTCTCGTTACGTGTTTGTAAACATACATGAATCCGACTTTATTAATACCTACTGTACAAATTACGTCAGAATAAGTAGTATTTCTAGCGAAACTTTAAACATAAAATGGAATTTTAACAGCAATAGGCACGAAATGAGAATACTGTTGACAAATTATGCACGAAGTTCTTTAGAAAATCATTTTTATTAAGTACTAAAAACGATTTTATTAAATATTTCAATTGACCGCCACAAAATATTTCAGTAAGCGTGAACTGTGGAAATTGTAATAATAATAACAATATATTAATACATACCTAAAAATGTAGCGGATGGTGAATTATATGCTAAATATTCTTTATTTGATGCCCACGCTGGAAATTCAGATTGTTGCAAAGGTGCCGAACCCTCTTCTTCATCTCGTTTCCACGGTAACATTGTCTCTGTTGCAGTGGGTGTTGTCACTCTCATCAGATCACCCCCTAAATAGTAACAGAAACATAAATGAATAGTTCAAAAGCATCATGAATACTCGATGCTTTGTGATATACGAGGACGGTTCACCAATTATTGTCCCTAACATAGAAGTAAACAAATGAGAGGTTTGTAAATATTTTATTTTTCAACATAGGTCCCTAATAGGTTAATGCATATCGATGTTGCAGCTTTTGTGAGCCCTTGGAAAAAAATATTCTTTGTTTTGCTCTTCCAACTATCCATTAACGTTTGCCATCACTTCTTCATCATAAAAAAAATGAGTACCACGAAGATTTTCCTTTAATTTGGGAAACAACAAATAGTCGCTGGGGGCTAGGTCTGGCGAATAGGAGGTTGTTCAAAAATTGTAAAACCCACACTGTGAGCATTGTCCTGATGAAACAGAACGTCTCGTCTTAACTTTCCTCTTCATTTCTCCTTGATGGCTTCGGGTAATTTTTGGATTAGCTTGGCATAATATTCACAGTTATGGTATGCCCATGTGGCAAATAATCAGTGAAGATAACCTCTTCAGAATCCCGAAAAACTATTGCTATGATTTAGCCAGTAGAAGATTAGACACGAAATTTTGGAGGGGGCGGTGAACCCCTGTGACACCATTACATGTTTCGGTGTCTTGACTCAGGGTCAAAATAATGAACCCAAGTTTCATTTACTGCGACAATTTTTTTTTTTTAATTCATCGAGGTCTTCGTTAATTATGGCCAAATGAGTTAGTCACCTGCCTAAAGAACTTGTCATCAGCTATTAATATTTTTAGCTCCCAACGTGCACAGACTTTTTTGACCCCAATTCTACATGCAAATTTTTTTCCATCCTACCCATCAAAAAGCCACATTTTTCTATTATAAATCCCACTGTAATTCTTCGATCGTTGGGTACCATATCATGGACTAAATTGATATTTTGTGTCGTAACGACAGTTTTCAGCTGTCAAAAATCATAGACATATACAAATGTCAATAAATGACAAAAACAAACATCCATTTAACATTTGTTGTTCAACGTCAACTACACAATAATAGATGAACTGTCCCCGTATATAATTATTAGATAATGCATTTTCTGACTGCCACTATTACCAAAGCTAACAACAAACCTTATAGTTCAGTAGTATAATAAAAATTTTTACAGAGAACTAGTATTTTTACTATAACGTGATTTAATATTTTTAAAATAATGGGAGTTCAGTTCAAAACTTTTTCGCGGTTCCACATTGGAGATAATTTGCCGTTACGATATTTTATGATATGTATATAAATTTGGTTGATTTTTCAATAATATATCTCTGTTTTATCAAAAATTCTTGGAGTGCTGTAATCAATTTTCTTATGTTAAGTTAACTATTCCCGGGTCTTGAATTGAACACCCTATATTAAAGCTGATTTCACAACAATTTTTTCAATATAATTTATTCCAAACAAGCATAGAGTTCATGCGAAAGAATGTAAGTAATTCACGTGACAACAAAGATTTCAATAAATAGAAAAATCATGTATTTGCTAATATGTTGAATGTTATACCATCAAATGCAAGCAGAAAAATGCAAAAAAATTAAAACGATATATACATGCGAATACGCATTGCAATAAAACAAGTCTACATACCATCTATGGAACCTCTGGACATGCGTTTTCCTGTATCTGAGAAAATACTCTCATCTGTAACTAAACATACAATACAGTGCTTGAAAATTTGGGATGAAATATGCAGCAAGAGTGTTCCACCAAATTCAAGAAAGATTATATAGATGCAGTGAAGCATGACGTAACACTCCCTTCTTTATACACAATATGAAAGCAATGCACTTCATGCAAAGGTTATAGATTTTGCATAAGAATAAATTCAGTGAATTAATGCAGTCCTAATGAATCCATTTACTTTGAAAGTGGCGGATCGTTAAGAGAAGTATTAAGAATTTTACTAGACTCATATTTGCAAGGGTGTTAAATTTTAACGTCAAATAATTCAGGACAATACCCCTGTTTGTCTAACCGTAGGGACTACTTTCATACAAATTTTACCGTTGAAAGTACGTTTAAGAAAAAACAAATTAATCATTAGCATTATGAACGCGATGGATTAAAATCCCAGGAGTTTTCACTAATCTGACTATGAATGTATGTATATATGCTAAATAATGCTCTTACGCAAAGGAGCGAATATATTGAGATCATCCAGCAAATGTCCAAATTTACCATTTTTTTCGCACTGATACGTATAAGTTCAAATCATACATGTAGTATTATAAACAAAAGTACTCTCATATTGTAGGTTTACATAGGACTGTGCTCCCGATTGCAGATACTTAACAAAGATGACTTTTAATCTTCATCATTGTGACTGGGTATAAAAAATAATGGATTCAGAAGGACTCTAGCATTAAAGCTGAAACAGCACCACAGATAACAAAGGATAACAAAAATTCAAAAACTTCTTATAAAGAGACCTTTACGTTTACATTTGTTATTTACTGTTTAAACGGTGATTCCTGTTAATTTTTTTAAATAATTGTGGGTATATATAAAACTTTTAATCTAAACAAACAATAATAATATTCAAAATTGAGCGATAAAATATCCCAAAATTTTGGATTTTTGGAAATGAGTAAAATAACGAATGCAGCATATACCATCTACAATTATAATCTGAAATTCAAAAGGTTTCCTCTGGTTATCTATGTCAGGTCCAATTAGTTGCCGGAATGATTCATATGCATTATTAAATTAAATTTGGTTATAAATAATTTAGGAATCTTAAAAAAAATTAACTAAAATACATTTTTATTCTTAATTTAATAATTTCATTACCTTGCACGGAATGCATTCGCTACTTGCTCATAGTATGCCCATGTTGACATTTTGTGCTTACTGTTAAGTTTATCTACGGTTTTTTTTTTATAGATTTGATTTGATGTGTATATAACTTCTATTCTAAAAAAAGAAATCTAAGCGCTATAATAAATATTTGGTATTTAATAGAAATATGTTCCTTATTTTCACCGTATCGTTCAAGGCAAATAATTTTATACCAAATATTTTCTAATAATGTGAACAAATAATTCAACTAAATAAGCGGTTCTACGTCAACCGTACCGTTAACCTTAGAATGTTCCCTTCTCCAAGGGAGACAATCCTCAGCAGCAGTGGGTTTTTTATTTTTCGTTCCCATCAAAGGAACTAATTGACTAGCAAAACTTCCGCTGAGATCCGTTTCCGTGCTTGCTAAAATAATGAATCCCGTTAAAATTTGTTTCAAAACACGAGATTGATAACCGCTTTCAGCGGGAAATTTTCAATTACAAAATAATAAAATGAAACGCACAACTTTTCACTTTAAGAAAAATTGAACGCACGTATTAATTTATATCTTTATTATCTTAGGTACATTTGCACACAGCCACATCGGTTTAGTAAATGCAACTAAGATACATTTATCTGCAAACAAGAAAGCATATCGACACTGAAGAATAAAGCTGAGGATGTGGTTGGAATTAGCAACTATAGAGTAGGATTAGAAGTTGCATGCTTTTTCTTCAGTACAGCCGTTAAAAGCGGAGTTAGAACAATCAGCCACCCGAGCATCTTCTCCACCAATCTGTTTAATAAACCTAGCAAATATTATTAATACTCACGACTTGACTTTGCCGTGAAAGTTATGGGACTATCCCAGTCTTCTTTATTGGATTTTGGTTCTGTGTCATCTTCGTGTAAAACTTCGCTTATGTAATCTAGTGGAATAAAAAATGTAACCTATGTGCTAGAGGGGAACTACGACTGTAGTAGTGTACGCAATTTGACTTACCGTGCGAAAACTGCTTGGCTGTACCGTTTTGTTGAAATTCGGGAAAACTGACGTGATTTTGTTTCCCATCCTATAAGTCAAATCAATGATTAGAAAAAAATCAGGATTTTTTCTTAACTTACTTTGTTAAGTTTTTTACTGTGTCGTTTGTGGTGATGTTTTTTATCTGCTACAAGCCGTCTCATGTTGAAATGCATCCGATAATTGACTTGCGTTGATAGATCTCGGTCATTAACTGCATGTCGGCTGTAACTTAAACGACGATGCTGTAAAAGTAGCTGTCAGTAGGTTAATTAGAAAAACACAAATTGTTCACCCTTCGAGAAGGCTTAACTAATTCTTCAGCCAAAAGGTGATGTATTTTCGCGTCGGTTAAATCTTTCTTCGATGGATTATACTCTAATTCTTGCATGTCTATGTTCCATGTGCTTGAATCTAGATGACTAAAACTAGAGCTGCAAATAGGACACAATTATTGTAATCCAAATTGTTAAAAAACATAATTATTTAAACAATATGTAACACCAAAAGCTAAAGTAAATGAAGCTTCTCGTTAGGTAGGTATATTAGCGGAATATAATGAAGTAAAAATAATAATATTTACATTTAAGTAATTATAACTTTTAACAAAGTACTAACTTTTGTAGTATAGCTTACTAACAAAATCTTTATAGAGTCTTGAATTATGAACATTGATGATTTTATTGTCAATGTATAACATATTCAACAGAACAAAGGTAATACTTTTTATTTTTGTTTAAAAAAATACTGGTATGAAAAAGTAATGAGAATAATCAATGTACATCAGAACGGAATTTTTTTCCAGAAAAGAGGAAACGATTTTACACCTAAACGGGTAAATGTTGATAAGAAGTAAAACTAGTTCCCTAATGTTGTCTCAGCAACGTTGTAAAAGTTGTTTTCTGTTATTATTTTGCAACAGATTTTAAACCCATTTTCCCTAAAAGCATTCAAAATATGGAAAAGATTTCTTAGTAGTTGTTTACATGTTTATATTTCATTGTTCTAGTAATCAAACAACAAAATACCTTAACAGATAAAAATCGTTTTTGGGAAATGCGTTTTAAATAAAAATCGTTTAGTTGGGTTTAAGCAACAAGAGAAGTTTGGAAGATAAATGTAGCAAAAAAAATGGTGGAAGATTATTTCGACAGAACTTCCCTCGCTCATAAAGCACAATTATAAGATTTTACTTTACTTTATTTTTTATGATAACCCTTTACCCTTATAAGTTAAAATAAAGATATGTACTTATGTAATGTTTGTTTCATGTGAGTTTTTCCATTACAAAATTTTGTGATGACGTCATTAACATTTTTGCAAATACATGTACATCACACAATAGATGCAGTGTAATACTAATAATAACGGTAGTCTATTTCCAAATTTTCGGGAAAATGGAGTAAGTCGCTCTTGAATCTTGATTTAATCAACAAAATAATGGACCAATTTAATTAAGAGGTGCAAGTGAACCGAGAACCATTTATTATAAGTACTCGTAACTGCAATAATCAAATAATCGGATCACAATGCGATGGTCCAGACTTTTTTATTGCGTCAACTTCCGCTTATTAAATAAAACATTGCATTGTATGTTGTTTCGCGATGTTGTAATTCACATTTGTTTTTTTTTAATAAAGATGTATGTATTCTCACTATTTCGAGAAAATCGGGTGACTCGTTCTTTATTTGATGAATTAAAAATTGGAGAGTGTTTAATTTTATTAAATTTATTTTATCTAATGAAAAAGCGGGTAGGGTGGTTGGACAGACATATTTTGATTAAAAATTTACCATGCCTGAGATAACGTTGAAACGTCTGCAAGATTTCAAAGCATTCGATTTTACAGTTCCTAATTTAATCCATAAAATAAACTGACTCATTTATTAATTTTTTTGAGTCACCCTGCACAAGAAATTCTAAAAATATGAAGACCACGATGAATCACAAGTATAGACTCATCATATTTTGTACATTTTCGGTAGGAAGTAGAAGGCAAAATTTTGTGATGACGTCATCCATTTTTTGGGGTAACCAGATCTACTTTGATTAACAATGTACCGAATTTACGACAACTTTAAAACGTCTGCAAAATCTCAAAACATTCGGTTTTGCAGATTCAAAATTAAATTGCAAAATGTTGTTTTATACGATTTTGATTTTTTTTACAAAAATCTGGATGCCGTAGGTAAAAACTCAGTACTTTTTTATAAACTACACTTGTAGGAGTACGTTTTTTATACAATTTAAAACCCATTTACTATGTAGAATTTTAAGATGACGTTATTCTCATCACAATGTTGGTGTGATGATTCGACAAAGTTTGGTTACCGTTGATCATTTACATAATGTTCATAAAATTTAACAACAATCGATTCGGTAGTTTCGGAGATTATCTGTCTAACGAAAATCCACACGGACGGCAGACAGACAGAAACCGAAGACGTATTTTTTGGTACTCTAGCTGACATGAAAATGATAAAAATTTTAAATTACTAAAGTTTTTCATCCTACAGAAATAGAAACAATTCCTTTATATTTATTAAAAAACAGATTTTTCTATGGAGCAATCATGCCGCTAAAATATTTTTTATATGTAGACATTTTATTTAAAGCTCTTTTGCATCTTCACTACAACCATAGGCCCTTGTGTCTTTTAATCTGTACAATAATAATTATTAATTAGCTTATAGGAACAAAGGTTATTGTTTATGAACCAAAATAGCGCTCCACTTTCGAAATATGACATAATTAAGTAATTGTTTGCACAGTTTAGGGAAGTGAAAATGATATACATCAAAGACAATTAGGTAAGCTTTTGTACGGTAAAATGCTCCTCATTAAAAATTATTGATATTTTGTTTAATATAACATAAAATATAATATAACATAAAATTGTTTGCCACTAAAAACGTTTTTTGTGAGTTATTTTATTGTCATTTCCATATCAACATTTACGGATAATTTCTTAACAAATACCGCAGCTGGAAAAATATTCACAATAACAATCACGAAAAAGTGTCGTGATTGTTATTGTGAATATTTTGAAAATTGTTTAAGCATTACATGCACTAATCCCGGCGCCTCCACCAGATTTCTTATACATTTTAGCAAAGTTCATTACTTCTTTTAAAATCACTTTCAAAAGATTGATAAAAATCTAGTTTTATTCTCATCAAGCACATTCATTCGGGGTGTTAGACAAACACTTACTTTCCCGTTCCACTAATGTGTCTATAAAGTTATACGTGTATAATACGCCGCTTCATATATTTTCGTATATTTGGATTCTTTATAGTGAACAAACAAGGAAAGGGTGGTATTTTCATTATCACGTTTACATCCCTATAAATATTTGAACATTTTATTACTAAATATTGCAAAATAACCAGAAGCAGTTTAAACCAATGGCAATGCAAAAATAAAAAAAATCCTTATTTTTATTGCAGCTGAATTTCTTTGACCAAAATCGGTGTAGTGAAATACTTTTCTTAGTGACATTTTGCCTCAAAATTCAAAACAAATATTTTTGAGACAACAAACAAATAATGAGGTATCTTCATGAAAGGTGGGAAATCCTAAATAATTCTTCTGTCCTCAGTATTTTTTCCGAAATATATTTATATTTCTATCATTACCTGTTACCTTATTCCCATAACAGCAACCTAGAGCAAAAGTATGGCACAAAAGCACTGACTACAGCAGCTACGGTAGTGAATTTGTTAATGTAATTACTATTTCTCTACGTGAAAAGTGATCAGTGCTGTTAGTTTACCAGGTTAGTAATGTGGTGGCGCACCTGCCGTTGAGGTTGCCCGCCGTATAATTCTTGAAAATAGCCGACATGCTTTCAGTACCAGAAATGTTACCTATGGTGGAGGCATTCCTACGCATATATTCCATTGCATCCCTCATTGCCAGTTTCGAATAAGTTTCTAATATTTTCGGTTCAGCTCCTTGATGATTTCTTAGTAAGTAAGGCCTGATAAATTGATTATCAAAACGTTTAAACCTGGAAATAAAAAAAATTACATTAGTACGGACAAATCAGTTATTACTGATCATGTACTAGAAATTCATAAATTATTACAACCTTGCAAATTCTGTAGCGATTTTATGAACTGTTAAAGTGGTTATGGAGTGTTAAACTTTTCGATAAGAGCATTTACTCATTTCTCGGTAAATGGTTTCTTATTCGTGGGTGGGCACACGGTCAGGTCCGTATTCCGTTGTCAGATCGATTCAACAAATAGTTTTTATTAAGTACGGGCAAAGTTCAAAAAATAGCCACAACTGAAAAGTGCTGGCTTGAATAACATTATATATCAAATGTTTAAAAAAAAGGTTACAAAATTTTCTTAAAATTTTCCTATTATTAGCAGAATTCTACTGTTGAATAATACATCATCATTATTAATTATTAAATTTATGTATTACATTTATGTCCCAGAAAATTAAAAAATAATTTCCCAAAATTAAAAATGGTTAACTAAGTATATAATTTTTTTTTTCCCGATGCTCGGTGTTTCGCCTCTGTTCCTCTTGTAAGTGTCGACCATAGGACAAGCTTAGCAGACGTAAAAACGTGAGGGTTATTAAGTTTCACTCGTAAACTCACGCAATATTATTGTCATTGACAGTTGTATTTTTCCATCATGAAACATTGTTCATGGTTTTTATAAACATATAAATATATACATACATAAATACCTAAATAAATACATAAATAAACAAATCAGTAAATAAATTCTAGAGAATTAATAAAAAGGCAATTTTAATGAAACCAAACGTGAAATGGCATAGACATTACAATAAAATATGTCGAATTTATTCTTCTAAAATCAGGTTCTTTCAAGGAATTACACCCAGGCAGCAAAGCAAAATTTCTCAATAAAAGGCATTGATTCTGGATTTTACATGTTACCAACTAAGTTTGAAACTTAACCTTGACCAATCACAACTTGCAGTTTTGATTGTCGGAAAGCTAAGTTAGGTGGTTAATTAATGGTTCTCTTGGGAACACATTTTGCTAATAGTTTTATACTTATTACAAAAAATTTATACGTAAAAACCGAAACAATAAATTTTTGTTGTCAAAATGTGATGTAATGTATGGTTGATGATTCTATATCTAAAATTTTGCGATACGATTGCCAACATTTTTGCGGAATCAGATTAAGGCGTTTATTTCTGAACCAACAGCTTAAGTTGCCAGATGTCACAATCTCCTTCATAATTTGCAGTCGGTTAAATGCAGTTTAGTTCAATTCATATCTGGATACTGATAATATTTTGACACAGTTTTACTTTCTTCTGAAAATGTTTTTATAACTTTTAATAAGATATCATATACTACATCTACGTTAGTATAGTACTCCTATCTATTATTCTATTTTAAACCACATGAATGAAAATTTAAAGTCGTAATTAAGTCCAAATTCTTTGAATCATAAACTTGTGTATTTTATAGTAACTTCGTATATAATGGAAATCTGCTTATATTATCTCATTTTCTAAATTCCTTAAGCTAACCAACAGAATTGGTTTCGAGTACAGTTAGAGTTGACCATATTTGTATTACTTTGATATAGTTTGTTTGCATATTTTAAATACGGTCAGACCTCATGAATCGCTTTGCTCAGACATCTATGCACATTTGTTTGAAATACGTTTAAGATTATTATTAAATGGGTGTAGCGATTGCTTTGCTAGTCGATTTTATATATCACCAGAAAATATGATAGAGATACGCAATATAAATAGTTTAAATGTAAGCTTGCTAGAATTATATCTTCAGTGATTCTCTTTGGTAATATTTTCCTTTTTTTTTTTCAACTATTAAACATTTTTTTAATTCTTATTATTAGAGTTAGGAGAAAATAAGTTACTGGTTCCCATCACTAGCGCTCAGGCGTGCGGCTGAAGCGAACGCGTACGCAGATGAATTAAGGTATTTACAAATTCTCAAGTGAATTTAGTGTCTAACTTACAAGTTACAACAAAAGTAGAAGCGATTTTCAACAAAAATCTGGGCCTTCATCTATTACAATAATACATTGACTTGTAGACGGTAAAAATCTATATAGACAACAGTTTAAGTAATACTTCAATCATGCACCTGTTAGTACAGTGTCGATGTTGAATGATGATTTTCATTCTGTAAGCAATATTATTAATCTCAAAACACACTCGTCTGGTCGATGAAAATGTAAAACGCTTGGTAATTCTGTATAAAAATTATCGGATAAGAATGGAAAAACATCAGTTTTTGATTTAACGGGCTGATATACTGTTGTATCTCGAACGTTTATGATGTGTAGTGTGCTGTTGTATAGTTGGATTCATGTATCTTTTGACACACGTGACCGAAGTATCATACAAGCTCAGACAGCACCTACCATAAGAATCTTTGTTTTAAGGATTACAAAAACGAAGAGCCAGATAAATAGTATGTCTACCGAAATTAGGCCAAATTACGCTCTACGTCAGTTATTCTCTTCCACAAAGTTCCCTGAATTAGAAAAAGATAAAATACGTAATAAATGCGTCCACATAGTGCGACAGGCACTGATGTAGTCAATCTAGTGACTGATAATAATTCATCGATTTTTCATCAAACGTCACTGTCATTTTTGGTTTTACTCAGAGTGGTTAATCGCAGTTTTTCGTTGTTCTATTCAAGTTTTCTATTCAGTTCTTCGTAAAGTTCGTTGGTCGTTAGGATTCTTGTTTCGTTGTCCTATTTTTTATGTTTTGTTATCTTATTTCTTGTTCGTGTTTGGTCTACAACATGACGGACAAACGTTTGAGTTCCCGTGCCCAGGACATCGTGTCCAACTTTATAGAGTCTTTTGCTCTTGAGAAGGAAAACGGTGGTCCTTTAATCTCATTAAATGGTACAGAACGAGTAAGTAAGTAAAAACCACTTGAAGGTTCATGGTTAATAATTTCGCTCAAATTTTTAGCGAGTTACAGATGCTCTTCTAGGTGTTACTCGCCTAACGGTTTCGAAGATTAAAACTCGAAAAGAAAGACTCGGCGTCCTTCTCAGTCCGGCAAAATCACGACCCAATCGGAAACCACCTGCCTGAGCTTACACATTTGTGTCATGTTGACGTTATGAACATTGTCATCTTTTTGACTAATTATTACAAAGTAACAGTTATTAGTTCGGACGTTAGCTTTTGGTCACGTGTGTAAAAAGATACATGAATCCAACTATAGTAGGGGTTATTTGCCGAGTTCTAACGTATTTTCGCCGAAGTCTAGTTATTATACCTAATACCGGTGAGAATTATGAGAACTGATGTAATATAATTTACCTCACTGTTATAGAAAAAATACATAAATACTTTAGGTCGTGTTAATAAGTTTTCTAGCAGAGATTTTCGAGTAAAATGTGGTAGAATATTATATTACTATTTTATAAAGCAATTTCACTACATGACTTGCCACGTAGGCTACGACAATGTGACATAAATAATGTATATTTAACAAACGACAAATAGTTATGTACCATGTACCTAACGTATTTGGAAAGTGGAATTTCCCGCATGAGCACTTTGTTTGCAGTACGACCGCAGGGAATGTGTATTTAGTGTGAATGCGGGAAATTCCACTCCTCAAATAATGTAGGTAATAACTATATTATAATTATATGTTACAAATTTTTTGAATTGAATAACTCAATAAAAAAATAATCAGAAATAAATAATTTTGCATAATTTACTTTATTTTGTGCTACAGGGTTGGTGACAGTGAAGTCATTGATTGCTCGATATTTTAAATTCTGACGTGGAAAGTAAAAAACACTGCATTGTGGGAAATTCTTGTTTCTACGCATCAGGCATAAGCGGAAAATAAGTATCTACAAGCTATGAGTACAAAATTGACTTTTTACATACTTATTTTCAAACGAAAAATAACACCTAATAATTTCCGTCCACTGTGGATACGGCACGGCGCGGCGCCGATATTTAGATTATTTTAGTAGTGTGTGTGATTAACATAAACGTTAATTGTCATTTTGAGTATTTTATATAATTAAAATAAAGTGTTAAAAGAGTATATATTGATTTTTAATTTGCTGGTAGGTTGACCGAAAACTGTAATATGCACCTCGGCAAAATAGTACCTACTATAGCATCGGTCACCAAACTGTAGACTCATGAAATGAGATACATTAAAAAAGCTTTTAGCAGGTTCTACGACACAAATTTCTTTTTACTTTATCTCATTTTCAACAAAAAAAGTCGACATTGTATGTAATACAACGTCTAGAGTTTTGTCAGCTGCAAAAAATGGTGGAAACCGCGTTCTGAACTTTCAATAAATAACAGATAATAGATTTTTAAAAATGCGTTATGTAAAAATTTCAACAAAATTAAAAAAAATAATAATAAACTGTCAAAAAAATGCCCTCGCATTATAACTATAGTGAAAGTTGTGGACAGGTTACATTTAGAATTTCATAACAAAAAATGTTAATAATGGAACAATTAGATGCTGAAACTGTATTGACAACGCCATGAGAGTCACTCCTTTTAATACCTACGGATTGTACTATATAAATATTTTACTTTAGTGGTAGTATGTAATTTGATAGGGAAATGAAGCTGAATTAAAATTATTATACACATGGTTGGAAACTTATTTAGTTTAAAATTGATGGACAAATTAATGCAATACGATACTATTGTTTACCACGCATTTTTTAACATTTGCATTCTTAATTAAGCTATTCTTATGTAACTTACGTTGTAGTTGTTCATAAAAACAAAGTCTTTAGCAGGGAGTTCAAGAGTTCAACTGTTTGGGACCGCAAAACGATTTAACATCACCATCAAATGGAGCTAGACTGATAAAAGTAGGATAACTTTGATACAACGTTTCCAAAATAAAAAAAGAAGTAATCAAACTGTCGCCTGATCAAGATAAAATACAAAAAAGACAACGGCCGATACAACATAGCGTGTGCTTCAAAAATCCAAATTTAACTTTATTAAAAATTCGAAATGGATTAGTCTCTTCAGAGCAATCTGACAATAGCGCCTTCAGAATTTTTTCATGGTCTATCGCAATGATATTTTTCATTGTTAAAACTGACATTTTTCATCACAATAAACAAGTACATACAGTAACATAAAAATATGGTCTGGGGTAATTAAAAAAATTCGTGCCACAAATAATCCTTTAAAAATATATAGGTGCCCATTTACAAAAAAAAAACATTTGAGATGTTACACTAATAAAAAACGTAGACGACAGTCTACAGAACATTATAATGTGATTATTATTTTAGTCACCATGATTGAAAACTGTATCATTTTATGAAATTTGAATCAACCAAATCTTGATATTCACCAAAACCTAGTACATTTGCTGCGATATTTTTACTCAAAATTTGTGCAATGTGTTACTAACGGAAAAGTTAAGTGGGTACCTACTTGTCTCTAATATGATAGTTCCCATGTTGGCCGAGGATGTCTTCTATGGCTGCCATAGCGTGATCCATCAACTATAAACAAAAAATATTTTATCAAATTTACTAATACGTTAACTTTGTTAAACCTGTATAACACAAATAATAATACATAAAAAATACATAAATGTACATGTGATATTCATACTCAATATTTATACCACTGTGGAAGTTTACCATAGTTTCTTTCCTAAAAAATTAAACATTTTCATAATTCTATTTTAAAAATGTATACACACAAAAGTTTGAATCATCTTTTAAGGAAATGAAATTATCTGCGAATTAATAAACTCTTGTTTTAATTTTTTTTTTAATCTGAGGCTTCTTCGTATAATATTCGCAACTATACTTCCAACAATTTCGTGATAAACATCAATAATATTTTTTGTATTACATATACTAAAAGCAGCGTTACTATAATTGTGTAGCTAATCTAATTGATAACATTTAAATAAAGATTAACAGAAGATAATTAACGTTGCGGTATTTTTAATGTGTGTGGAACCATATTTCGAGTGTAATGAAATATGATTTTATTTACAAAACAAAATCACAAAAATAACTATGGTACGAGTATTCTGATAAATAGCAATATTATTCTCTTTCACAATTTTCTCACAGAAAAAATTTAACGGAAATATTATTATATTATATAACATACTGGGTAGTGGGTGTGTGTCATTGTTTTTATGATAATAATCCCACTAAAAAATCATATGTTAAAATTGTTGGCTCAAAACGATTAAAAGTTAAGCAACGTTTAATTAAAATTAAATTAAAAATAACTTTATTGAACATAAAACCAGTTAATACAAATTGATGAATACAGAATAAAAAGGTCAACTTCCACAATAAATCTGCAAGTAACATTTTAAACCATACAACATGGCATTATATACACATTACACATAAGCAACATAAAAAAAAATAAAAAATTTGAAAACACAGTTTTGAAAATAATTACCCTTTCATGTATTCGTTCGTTCATCGTAGGCTTCCTTTTCTCAGCTGTTTTCACATTGAGAATTTTTACTAGAGGTTTTATGGTGATGCCTTGGAAGAACACAGTAAAGTAGACCACAGCAATTGTAGTTGTCATGAACATCGGCTGCAGCGGCACTATGTCAGGACTGATTAAGAGTACCAATGCAAAGGCCACAGCTCCTCTTAAGCCACCGTATGACATTACAAATTTTTCCACTTTACTCAATTGGTGCAATCGAAAACGATTTGCTATTGCTGTGAATATTATTACACCTAAAATTTACGGACGTTAACATCATTTAGTCATACGTACATAAGAAAAAAAATTAAGTTTAAGTTACTCCTTATCATTTAACGAGCGGAAAGTGACTCTTTTTAAAATAAACAGGCACATTCTTAACATACATAGTAGTTTTTGTAACAGCATTGAAAATTTACGCTAATGAGAAAATAAAACATCTTACTAGTTACTTTTTATTTTTACATTAAATGAGAATGGCGACTGCATTTTTCTAATTAAAAATTGGCGATGTAAGTATGTTATAAATTTTCACTTCTTGAATTTCAACATTTTTACTAAAATCAGTTGACGTGCGTTGACGCTATCAGATATACCAAATTGCACAACACCAGGTGTATTTAATGTTATAATTTGTAATAATGAATGTATGTATGTATATGAAATATATAATAATAAAACTGCTGAAAGGATTAATTAAGCTTATTATTAATTTGTGCATGTGTCTGGTATACGTTTGCTTTTACTGTAAATTTTGCTTAACAATAATAAAATGTGAATACACACCCTAATAAGCGGCGCTCGACACTTACCTATTGCTCTGTAAATTGAGCAAAAAATTATTGTAAGTACAACAAACCATGTGTTCCAAACATGGTCTGTACTTACAGTTGCCACTCCCAAAAACATGAAGATGATGGTTTCGGACGAACTACTTAGCATTTTCATGGTATACTTTATTGTCGTGTGGGACTTGTGAGATATGTTTGCCTCGACGTAATTTTTCATTGTTATACCACAAAATGTAATTCTGCAACAAAACAGTTCTTATTAAAACAGTGGATCAGCAATAAAGTTATTAAGATTTACTTATTGTAAGTTGACACTCCTATTACACAAACATGTATGTACAAATCATAAACAAGCATAATTATATTGCGGCATATCGACATTTTTTGCGTTCGTAATTAATTTTTTAGCGCTATGAAAATGTAAATTTTCATCTGCTATGATACCTAAATGAACATACAAAAATCCAAAATTTAAAGTGTAATCACTAATCAGTAATCAGAATTACTAATCACTACCAGGAGTGACGAAAACATGTTACTAGGCTGATAGGCTCTGGTATAGTAGCTGTCACAATAAGCTTAACGCCTCAAACGCTCAAAATAAATCCCTAACCACAGCTTATAGATGCCATAAATTTGGGCCGAATGCCGCGTACCATTCAGTTAGTACTTAAATAAGAGATATGCTGTGCCCAAACAGTGGAGACTAATAAAAATTACAATCATCCTAATCATTTCAATGAGTGGCAGCACGACCGTGCCCCAGGCAGCATTCGGTCTAATTTGACGGCCACAATATAATATCAGGAATGCTAAAATGAAGTTTTAGTTAAAAAAAAATCAATTCATTTTTAGCTGTTTATCGAAAATAATGAAATGTCGGTGTTTAGCACACCCTAAAAACACGGAAATGGAACAAAAATTCGCGATAATATTGTAAGTGTCGGGTATCGAAATAAAAACCTCGTCAAGAGCGTTATGTGACTAGTGTGTGAAATGAATTTTTTTCACGTTCGTTAAAAAAAGTGTAACATTATCAATTTTTCTTTATAAAGGATACGTTTCTTTCATTGCACTAGAAGCGTGAAAAAAAAAGTGTCATAGCGTTTCATTTTTTCACGCATTGGAATGAAAAAATGTGTCGCAGGGTGTCATTTTTTAACGGAAGACATTTAAACGCAAAACACAAAAGCCTGCCGTTGCTATGACGATTCATTAGCACATTTGTCGAAAATTAAAATCCATCGAAAAAATGTGTAATTTAAACCTTATTTAAATGCTTTGTATTAGTTTTCTCTGTGTTTTGTGGTAATTTGTGTGCTCGCACAATGGAATCGGACAGCGACGAAGATTTCTCGTGCACCTCTGAAGAATTGTCTAGACGGCAATTACGACTACATTTAAAATCTATGTTCCAAAATAAAACGTTTTTCAAGTAGGTGGTTGTTGAGCTTTGTGAAAAAAAATTTGTATGCAACTCGTGGCTTCGGCTCGTGCGTCAAATTTTCCTTCTCGTGAAAAAAGATACACTTTACTCATTAGTTGCATACATAACTATTAAAAGCTGTCATCCGCTTGTCACATCGACTGTTGTGAATTAATAACCTTTAAATTGAATTTTAACATCAAAATGACAACTGATAAAACAATAAAATAGAAGGCCACATTTTTAATTAGACACCCGTTACTATTTAAAATAAAAAAGTATGCATTCTATTAATAGTTTATTTTTATGTTGTTGCGATTTTACGTTATGAAGGAAACACGTGTAAACTTTAAAGACATTAATAATAGTTATGAATCCACTAACATGAAACTTAACTGAATCGTTCGCTAAAACTTAAATTGAAACTAATGAAATTCTTTAGATCAACCAAAGAAATGACATAATGAAAATTTTATTTGATGTTAATACTCCACATAGCACATAATGTCGCTCAATAGATATTTCATGCAAATTAGGAGTAATAAAAATTGACCGAAGTGTATGTCGACATAAGTTCTCTCGTTTCTGAAGTACAAGTAAAAAACCAGCGGCATAAAAAACATCCTCACATCTCCTGCACCGTGGGGCGCAAATTGCAAGGCACTGTGCAAATTGCACAAGTACGGGCAATGCAAAATATATTTAAAGCAGATAACCAACGGAAAAAATGGCCTCTCAGCAGAAATAAAAAGCTTTAATTTCAAGTACATCGGAAGAATGTCACGTAGTAATTTGTTTGACTTGAATGAACTTATCGTCCCAAAACAGATGACTCAAATTATTAATTAAGCCACAGTCGAACACAATCTTCCGAAAAGTATCACTATTATAATTTTCATTAAATAAAAATAGTTAAGAATCCCTTATCACAGAGTATCATGAATTTCAAAAATTTTATCTGTGGAAACTTAAATATCAGCTTTTCTTCCAAGGAGGTTGTAAGGTGTAGTGAAAATTCACTGTCGTTAGTCAACTGGTAAACTAGTAAGTATAATGTACTTATTTCTGCAATGTCCTGTAGAACATATTTACTTTTTGGAAATAAAAATAACTTTCGATCAACTATGCTGCTTGTCGTATATTTTACTAAAATTCAATCTAGTCAGGTTTGTAACCATTTCAATAATTGTATTCAGTAAAAAACAAAATAAAAGGACCGAGATAACTGTGCACTAGGGAATTAAAATCTAATATTTTAGGAAAATAAATAGGATGCACTTAGTCATCCAATCGCAGTAATCTAATAGGTTCCTAAAAACTCTAAACGTGTAAAATTTCATGCAGTTATAAAATATACGATAGTTTTTGTTTTAATGTTGATTATTTAAATTTTGCAAAACGGCAAGTTACCTAATTGATTTATAAGATAGCAATTCACTGCAAATATTATATTACATTAAAGAATGATGTTCTACCAAAACTAAAAATTGAAGTATTTTCTTCGTTTACGGATTTATTTGGGTGTGTTCATTGTTGTGTTTTCATTTCATGGTTTGACAATCTATTCATTCGTAATATTAACGGTTCCTATAGTGGTTATGATTCATATAATATATGACTACATGCTTTCTTTAAAGAGAAATAATATACACATCTTTTTTAAAAGTGATCATAGGGGTTCCCATGTTCACTTATGCTAGAGTATAAATTCAGAGCTGAAATTTTTACTGGATGTAATTTGGGTCACCTTTTATCGACTTTATTAATGGTTATCCTTTAACTTAAACTTAGAAAAATATATTTGCGTATTTTTGTCGGTAATATTCTACACAGCCATGTAAAAATGAACATGCACCTGACGCTGCCAAAATTTGATTACTTCTTCGATTACTTGGTTTTACTCGCTGAAATTCGTCAATATAAAAAGCGGAAATAGTCGCTGCATACACTATAAGCTTATCGACAAGTGAAATTGCATAAAATTTTGTTACATCATCCCATATCCAGCAAGACCACAATAAATGTAACACTTAAAATATTCGACGTTAGTTTTAGGAACAGTTTGGGATACTGCTTATTACTTTCCATTAAATTATTTTCTTTATTTAAGTTTGAATTCCATCATTCTGTTAATGATTAAATTAAAATTACCCAAAATTTACCGCAAGAATCTCTATAGCTACTTTTTAAAAAGAAGCACTGTATATGAATAAATAAAATAATAACTATAGTGCATTTGAAGTTGCTTATTCTGGTCGGTAAGAGTTGCGTTATTGAGTATGTGACACGAGACTTCGTTCATTGATTTTCATAACTACTGAAATATACAAAGTCCATCGGCTGTAACCTCTTACGGTATTACTGATATTAGAGCGGGTGGTGTGTGGTTTAATGTTTTTTTTTTTTTGTAAGTTGGTAAGTAAGATTTCATAATATTTAATAAAAGGTGTAAGGTGATTCATTTTAAGAAACCTATTCGATTTGTTCATTTTACCATTTCCTCTATAAGTACCCATTTAAGAGGAATTATGGTTAAAAAAATTGGTCTAAAGTTATTAAGAAAGAACTTCTTTCGCCCCTGAAGTAGTAGCTAACACATACAGCTGCTTCGAAAAAAGATAAAATTGAATTTTGTGAATTATAATTTTCTAAAATAACCTTTACTAGTAAAAATAAAGATATGTGCGGATTGTTAAAGTACCGGTAAAGAAGTATGTTATGCGTATGTTTCAAGTGAGTTTTGCCATCACAAAAATTTGTGATAACGTCATCAACATTTTAGCAAAGACACGTATATCAATTTGCCTAGGTACAATGCAATATTAACAATAAGAGTACTGTAGACACACATTTCCAGCCTGTATAAATAATTCTCAAAACTATGGAAGCAGTGATAAACCACAAGTATAGAGTGAATATTTGACATACTTTAGATTTTTTGCGCAGTATTTTGAGAATACATCAATTTTTAGAAGGGGGTAAACAGATAACCTTAAAACACTTGCAAATTTTAGAGCATTCGGTTTTGCATTAAACTGCAAAATGTTATATAATTTTGATTCTTAATTCTTGAGCGTAATATAAGTAAGTATTGTGATAAGGGCCAAGTGACCAATGACTACTTCTACATTTTTTCGACGTTTGAGGACCCCTAGAGTACAAAAAAATAGGTTTCGCGTTTCCGTGTGTTTGTCATTTATCGTATATCGTCTGTCTGTCGCCTATCTGTCGTCTGTTTGTCGTTTGTCTGTTGTCTGCCTGTCGTCTGTCTGTCGAATGTCTGTAGTCTGTCTGTCGTCTGCCTGTCGTCTGTCTGTCGTCTGTCTGTCGTCTGTCTGTCGTCTGTCTGTCGTCTGTCTGTCGTCTGTCTGTCGTCTGTCTGCCGTCTGTATGGCATCTGTCCATCGTTTGTCTGTCGTCTGTCAGTTTTCATTAGACAGGTAATATCTGAAACTACTGGATCAGTTGTTCTCAACTTTATTTCTGTGTTAGGAATATAGCATAGATGGTAAAACGCTAAAAAAAATCATCTGATCATCCCCCCCTACAATGAAATGATGTCATTTCCAAAATTTAAACTCCTTGAAAAATGATAAAATTTGATTTTGCGATTTTTGTTTTGTCATGACCTCTATAACATAAGAATCAGTGGCGTACATGACACCCCGCAGCCCCTGTGTCTCGGGGATGTAAATTCCAAGGGGGAGCGGTCCACACACGTACGGACAATATGAAAAAAAAAACAGATAACCAACATGAAAAAATGTATTCTCAATTGCTCAGTACATGCTTAATTCCGACTATTTATATTTATACTTCGAAAGAATTCGACTATTAGCACGGTCAGATTATGTATGTACAAGCATCAGCGGTCAAAATAAAATGAAATTTGATTGATTTTGTGTCCTTTATACAGAGGATAGGACTGATTATTTAATTAACCACACTCAGTTTTTTCACAGAAACACACTCAAATTTGAAGTATATTCGGTAAATTAAAATGATGGACAAATTTTCATTAACTTTTTACTATTATATCTAATAACCTGAAAATATTTGCTAGATTTCACAACATTCGGTTTTTGCAATTTCAAAGTTAAATTGTATAAAATTGTTACATAATTTTATAATTGCTACATAATTTTATTTTTTACCCAAAAAATCTGGATGTCTAGGGTAAAAACTCAACATGGATTCATAAATCACATGTGCAGAAGTATATTATTTTTTTTATAATTTAACTAATATTTACGAATGTAAATTTTGGAAATGACGTGATATTATTGTTGGTGGCGATAATTAGCCAAATTGTGGTTAGCGTCGTACCATCTACACGATATTCCTAATACATGTATAAAATTTGACAACAATCGGTCTAGCAGTTTCGGAGATTTCTGTCTAATAAAAATTCGGACAGATGGCACAGAGACCGACGGAAATAGGAGACTTATTTTTTCAGAGTCTAAGGATCATGAAAAGTCGGAAAAACATAAAAGTGTAGTCAGTCATCCAATGGACTCGATTATAAAACTACCTTAGCTTACAATCAGGAAGTAAAGTTTGACACAGATCGTCAGACAGAGAGACAGACCAGACAGACAAACAGGCAGACAGACAGATAATCCATCCAAGATTTTCGGGGATTATCTGCCTAATAACAAACAATTGACACAGGCAAGACAGATCGACAGACCGACAGACCAGACAGATCTGAAAGTAGCAAGTCGCCCGATAGAAAAATTATCGTTAAATATAAATTAACGGCAACGAAAAGCTAGCGCCTAATGGTTTGAAGCTAGCACCACTAGTTTTATAGCTAGCGCCATTCAGCAAAGTAAATAAAATAACTGAAAAGCCCTGAAAAAATAACTCACATTTATTTATAAAGCATAATTTCCAATAGTGGCCAGAAATTAGTACATTCTTTTATTAGGAGCAAAAGTGTTACTTTTTGTGGCGAGTCCTGTAAGTTTGACGGCGGAGTGAAGCGAATAAAACATACTATTTTCTCTTCAAACGTCTTAATCAAGTTAAAATATAACACATTTCTTTTTACATAACCTCACACAACCCGACAATCAGGAACTACACACCATGAACACTATTTGCAATCAATTCTACCACACGGCGTATTTGTTTTTAACATAGGTAACTGTCAGGATTTACCAGGTACGCGTGATAAATTCGATTTAATAACAGCAAAAACAAAGGCGGCAGAAAAAGTTGCTTTTTTTGACGCCGTCAGAAAAAGTACTTTTATAGACATGGCATTGAAATGCGTCTTTTACTATGTGTATGGTGGTATACAAAGGTCCGTTTTTCTAACGTTTGAAGAAAAAAACTATTTTTGAAAATTAGTGCATTAGAATTATCCATTTCTTGTAAAAAAGTAACGTTTTCTGCATTGCCTTTTAATAAATCATTTTTTAGAACAGAACATTATTCATTTAATTAATAAAGTTTAGTTGATGGTTCTCTGTTAGTCTGTGTAACATTGTCAGTTGAAAGAAAAAGGGGTTTATAAGGTTGAAACGTGGAGGTGATCTCTTTGTTTACGAAAATTACATTTATAATTTCTCGAAAAAAACTGCGAACGCAAAATCTCATATTTGGATTTGTGAAAAAGAAATTTTTGCAAAGGACAACTGTGGACTGAAGCGGACACGCCAAATGTTTTCAAAATAATAAACCAACATAATCATGCAGCTCAGGCCGCTATACCAGAAGGTTTGTGAACAATACAACAAATTTAAGACAAACTGACGAAAATCCTCAAAAGATTTTGACATCGAATATCCAAGATGTCCACAAAAATCTTTTAGCCGTAATGCCCCATAAAGAAAGCATAAAACTAACAATTAGGAAATTAAAAAACCAAAACAACATACCGCCTTAAATTTAATTTATTATCTCAATGTAAGGAATGGTATGCAGATGGTACTTTCATCACATGCCCGACATTATTTGAACAATTGTATACCTACAATTCATGTAAAATATAATAACATTATCATTCCTGTTGTTTATGCTATTTTAACAAATAAAACAGAATAAATATATAGAAAATATTTACAACAAGTGAAGACATTGCAATGAACGCATGTCAAAAAGAATTTGATGACGTTAAAATTACCGGTTGCTTCTTTCATCTTTTGCAAAATGTCTGGAGGAAGATACAAAGTGAAGAATTACAGTTAATGAAACATTTATGATAACTTTGTTACTTTTATTCATGTAAATATAATCCCCATAATTAGATGTACGATAAGTAAAAAAAATTGCGAAAGGGATCAGAATGATTACCCACTCTCGCTTTCGTGTCACAAGAAAATGTAAACGACGCCTATGAGACACTTATAGACGCAAGGGAGTTTCCACTAGAAGCAGCCCGTATAGCCCATTATTTTAAGGACACCTACATTGGACGTAGACAACGAAGGCAACGGATATTGCCTATTTTTTCCAATTTCTAAGTGGACCGTGTTCGAAAGAACGCTAAACAATGACACACGAACCAATAACAACGTAGAAGGTTGGCATCGAAGTTTTCAAGTTGCATGTGGGAGCCACCATTTAAATATTTATAAATTTATTAACGGTTTAAAGAGGCAACAACGCTTGGTTATTTTCGAAACATGTCAATTGCTATCTGGGCAACCTCTAAAGCGAAAACATAAAAAATTCCTTAAACTTCAGCGTGCAGTTCAGAATTGTAATTTTGATGATATTAAATATTAAATATATTTATCGGGTATTGCACATAATTAGAAGTTTTAGTGTAAGTATGTTTTTACTATGTTTAATATTAGTGTTAGCAATAACATGTGAGTACAAAATTTGTTAACTATATTAAATACTTAATCTATCAAAGTTTCTTGTTTTTATTTTAACTGGGCATGAACACTTGGAAATTGATGTATATGTTACCGGCAATCTGTATAATTCAGGTATTCTATACAATAGCAAGGCAATGTGTAGAATACCGGCGGCATCTAGGCAATGTATGAAATATTACGAATATGATTGTCCATTACATACTTTGCCTAGGTAATGTATACAATTCCTAGGGATTGTATAGAGTGGCCCATCGGCAATGTGTAAAATAAAACAATCTTCATAAATAAATCACGTTAAACCCAAAATTCTTCTAGGTAAACTAAAATAATAAAATATTTCTCAAAAATAATCACGTAGGTACCTACCAAGTATTAAAAACTTAGGAAACAAACAGTTCTATCAAAATAAGAAATAGATCTACTGGCTTCTCAGAATGGAGTAAGTAAAAAAATAATTATTTATTCTTACATGAAAAACTATTGTGACATTTTGAAGTGCATAAAATCTTATTTTAAAACTGTCCCCTCGCGTATGTCACTCTTACCCACTCTCGTCTTTTACACACATTATCGGCTGCGCATCCGGAATTGTATAGAATACCTAGGCAAAGTATAAAATGAATAATATTTCATACATTACCTTAACGTTTTAGGCATTCTATACATTGCCTAGGTATTGTATAGAATACCTAATTATACAGATTGCCGGTAACATATATAAAATATATATTCTTATATCTCTAAAACAGTCTAAAATAACTGAGTGCAGCTATGTAAAATTTTTATCACTAATACCAAGCCCATAGAAAGATATTCTACTTTTTTTAAACAATGTTATAAAAAACTTATGACGTCAGCAATTTATTTTTCATATTTAATTTGCTTTAAAAAATATTAAGTATGGAATCTACGACAGAATTAATATCAAAATATAGCTTCTTAGTATTAAAAATTAAAACGAAGTTGACATTCACGAACGAATTATACCGGATACGAAAAAGCCGGGCACGAAAAATCCCGGATACAAAACGTCCGGGCACAGTGCGCCCGGATACGAAAAATCCTAGGTGTACGAAAGGTCGGGTACGTGAATCTGCGCTACGACTATAAGTTTTCTTTTATACTTACTCTGACTCGTATTATCGATGTTGATGACGGCCTTACAAATTTTTTGTTCGTCAAAGCAAGAACGAGTCACCCCATTTTCTCGACAATGTGAGAACACGCACGTGATTATATCACAATTCTGAATTATAATATTCAGAACATTTTGTTCGATTGTGGTTTAATTAATAACTTTAGTTCCCGGTTTTGAGAAGACAAACTAATGTCGATGTATAAACATAAATAAACACTTGAGCTTCACATTGGTATTACCTAGTGCTGAAGGACATTTTTTATCCTGTTAGTTATGTTCTTTAAATATATTTTACATTCCGTACGTAGGGGCTACGGAGGTGTTATTTATGCCGCTGGTTTTTTACTTTACAGAGGTTATCACAAAGCGAAAATGGTAAAATAAAATTTTATAAGGGCAAAGGAAGTTCTATCGAAATAGCCTAACCCTTAATTTTTGTTGTTCGTTACACTTCCACCGTTTGCACGAATAATGTAACTCTCTACTTTTACGTTTTCTCGACCCTTCAAGACCCCTAGAGGACGAAGAAATAGGTTTCCTTTTTCCGTCTGTGTGTCTGTCGTCTGTCCGGATTTTTTTGATTATTAATTCGTTCTTAACATTTAAAATCAATTGCATGATTTGCTTAACATAAATAAAAAGAATTTTAAAAGTACTTACGCTAAAATTCCAGACATGTGGAAAATTTCGGCGTTTAAGTACGCCAAGTAGGCCATAACAAATATAAAAATAGGTTCTATGACACGCACTTCATTTGTAAATTTTGTAACAAATCCAGTTGCAAGTCCCCATATCACACCGATCACAGTACCACCAAGCGCCACTACGAGAAAGCTCGCTAAACCGGCTAAAATATCCTGATAGACGATGTTTTCTAGGCCCATTTCCGTATATGATTCAAAAAGATGATACAACACTACAGTTACGGCATCATTCAACAATGATTCACCAAACACAACTATATACAAAATTTCGTTAACTTGAATCTCTTCAAAAACGGCTAACACAGCTACTGGATCAACCGCAGATATAAGCGACCCAAAAAGGAACATGTCCAGCAGCGGAGTATCACAGGAGTAGAGGCCTGTCAGTCCTACTGCCCACAAGGAAGCACCTGCAACAAAAACGCAATGTTATGAACTTTCATCAACTAAATTTTGTAAAACGGTACTTTAGCACACAAAAATCAATGACAGAATGTACCGCACTGATGCATCGATTGCACCACACAATTATTCTTCAGTAATAAAAAGCTTATGAATAAGAATCAGCACAAATATTAAAAAATAAGTGAAAATATTCTTTTTCAATGAAACTTACTGTGTAGTGTTCACTGAAATACATCTGTTTTGATGAGCGTAAACACTACCAAAAATCGTACTTATTTTATGATGAATACTGGTCACTTGATCATTCATGTTACACTCATGTAATAATGAATTCTGGTGTAAATAAATTTATGATACAATAACTAAAAATGTCGTTTTCTTGTACCCCGGTATATTTACGTACGGATTTATTATAATTATTGTACAGTAAACACGAATGTTTAATTTTGTAGATAGGAATGCTTTCTTTTTGTAATTATAAGAAATATTTTATAAATAAGCTTGCTTCGTTTTTACGTACAAATGTTGCATAATGTGGACGTTTTAAAATTATGGTTTCTTACAATCTTTACGTAATAGGTACAAGATTTAAAATACAAAGAAAAGAAGTTCGACAAAATTATCTTTTTATTTATCTAGAATACAAAAATGAAAATAAAAGACGGCTTAAGCAAAGAATTTAGGTCTAAATATTAACATTAAATGAACGAAATACTAATCTGAACCGGAAGTAAATGACTGAAGAAACAAAATATTGAAAACTGGAAAATCACACATTACTTGTTACGTATAACAAAAATTGATTATTAGACAGAACTTCCCTCGTGCCTGAAGTACAGTCCAATAAATTCAACTTCTCTGCAAAATTATAGAATTTGATTTTGGGAAATTTTATTTATTTTATGATATCCCTTAGAAGTAAAAAAATTGGTCTAAAGTTATTTAGATAGAGCTTCCTTTGCACTTGAAGTCACAGATTCAAACAAATTCAGTGTTAAAAAAAAATCTCACCGAGGATAGGATTCGAACTCACTCACGCAGAGCTCAAGTTGCTCAAAGTTAACGCTTTAAATCACCCAACCTAATAGTTTCGTATATGCGCGAGATATCCGTTACATGAAACACTTCGTAAACCACAGTACAGTTCAAGTATGTTATTTTATAAAATTTAAATAGTACATATTTCGTAAGCATAATGTTGACGTGAACGTCATTAAATTATTAGCAAGAATAAGTAGACAGATTTTGGTTACCATCGAAACGATATATCTAACATATATCTTTAAAATTTGAGAACAATCTCCAGAGTTTTAGAGATTATCTATCTAATCAAAATTCACACAGATGATAGACGACAGGTAAACTATATAGACAGAGGCCATATAACAGGCAGACAGGAACCGGAGATCAATTTTTTTTCGTGCTCAAACGGTCATGAAACGTCGAGAAAACGTGGAAGTAGCCTTTCGTTGGATGGACGTTACAATATTGCTTTAGGTTATGCTCGTAATATATTTCATTTGTCGGTGGGAATTTATTCAGTTAACGCAATTATTTTATTACATTTGATAAGTAAGATAATGTATAGCTCACGCCATCGAAGGTAAATTTATTGAACTGGATATATCCACAATTGATTCAACATTGTAGTGTTACATCCTGGAAGTTCCGAGATCGGTGTATTATTTTCTGCATTATTCTCATTTTTGTTATTACAGTCTAAAATAAAGCCTTTAATGAGAATTTGCTGTATGTTAAATTTGTCAATAACGTTTTTTATAAATTACTATGATTCACTATTTTTAGATCCCGACCGATCAGGATGTGTTGCAATAGTGTCCATCCGATAAATAGCTACTTTCTTGTTTTCTCTACATTTCATAATCTCAAAAATATGAAAGATTAGGTCTCCAATTTCCATCTGTCTGTGTCGATCATTATTATTAAGATAATCTCCGAAACTACTGGATCGATGGTTGTGAAGTTGTATATGATTTAAGAATATCGCGTCGATGGTAAAACGCTAACCAAAATTTCTCAAATTATTCCCACTAACAATTTGGTGACTCCTCCTCAGCATTTTGCGTAGTGCATTTGTCAAAATTTCTAAAATAATATATACTTGTACTCGTGGGTTACGAACCCATCTTGATTTTTATCACACTTGCTTCACGAAAATTTATTTTGTGCAATGTTTGCCACGTGTTTCATGTAGCTGATATCTCGCTCAAGCATTAAATACCGAGAGACTATAAACGTCTGTGATTTCTTTAACGGGATGGCAACCAATTAAAATTTATGATATATACCTGATTGTCAAAATGACATTTATGACAGCTGCCATCGTCTCAACCAATTAACATGTTTGTTAGGCGTGCTCATCGCAAAACTAGCATTCGCATGGATGCCAATAATTTAGAATTGCCAACACAAAAATTAATCATTAATAGATAATCGGTATCTTGTGGGCGAATTGGTTAAGTGTCTAATAAAATTGTTAGACTTGTGCTCCACCGTCCGTGTGACTTCAAATCCCTTTCTTATCGAATGTTTTTTTTTTAAATTGTAACTATATTTTTTTAATTAAATTGGTTTTTAAGTTTCGACAAAATTGGAATTATTCGATTATATACAGCCTGTTATTGAAAGGTACGTACAAAATAAAATCGGCAATTGGTCTCGAAGTATGGGTGCTAAAAGTTAAAAAAAGTTCAGGTAAAAGTGTTCTCCCTTTAGAGATAAAAATTATTAAAATTTATGTCCAAATTCGTTGTACGCCTCTGATAAAAAGATCATCTTTCGTTTCTATAGCAACATTTAGTCTTGACAAAAGTTTTATTGTTACAGTTGCTAGGATTTACTAAGATTAATTAATTTTACCTATTTATCCTTCAGTAGCGTCTAAAAAGATTGGATAAGGGTTGATTTTCCCCTTAAAATTTTGATAAGACAAAATAAGTTTTTCCGACTTCTTAGACTTCGCGAAGAACTGTCCATTTTGTTGTACGTACCTTTCAATAACACCCTGTATACATACATAAAGAAAAAGAAGTGAAGAAAAACTACCGGAAGGGTAATGAAACATTTTGAAATTTATAAAGAGCATTCTTAAAAAATTCTATGAAAAACAGCAATAACAATAATTTCCCCATACCCGTCATGTAAGTTAAAAATAGTAATTCGGGTTTACAAATAATGTGTCGTTTCTATGGTTACATCAGGGCTGTAATATTACTTACACGCCCCAGGGCTTTGTAGCTAATGGGCTGTAAATGAAAATAAGGTATAAATACCTAGAAATTAAAATTCAGAAATTTTGCGTTATTTATAAGATTCTACGACATGAGTGAAATGAGTGTCGATATCTTCATTTAAACAAACAGTTAATCGTAACATGAATTATTCGCACCATAAACACGCTGGGGACTGATATTTCTTCATTAAATTCAGCAAATATGCCGGGAGAACCGTTTCGGTACTTGAAATGTCCCCTCCCTTTGAATTACACAATTCTTTGGATGTCTTATACGCTGTTTCATACCGTTTTTTATTTCTCCGGCATAACTGGTACACAAGCAATATTCTTCTTCCAAATCTATTGTCGATGGTACTTCAAGAAATACAACAAAACAAAGCTTAGTTGTTTTACTAGACGATCTTTATCCCCTACCCTCGTCTTTACCGTGTCTTTTGTCATCTCGGACTCTAAGGCCCTCGATTTCCAAAACTTCATTTTTCTACCACAAAAGTGACACTTAATTCCGTGGTACATAATATAATACTATATATCATATGTAAATTTTAAATAACACAGTAAAATTTTAAAGTCAGTAAATTGAAAAAAAAATATAATTTGTCATTACTTGGAATATAATCGCATTAAACCATTAAAAAAATCGTATTCGAGGTACATTAAATAAACCAAGAACAAAACAAATGTTTAAGAATGTTATCTAATACATATAGTTATCATTACTAGTTACAAGTTCTGATACGATGCAAAGGTACTTGTTAAAAACGGTGGGTGTCTTTTTAAAACCCTTAAAAATTTCTAATTTTAAACTAGTTTTAAAATATAATGTATTTGCATAAACATTCTGAAACACATATCTGTTTTGTTGATATTATTACTCTATATTTGTGCAACAGCAGTATAACTTACCTATTGTTAAAGTATTAAAAATAGTTCCTATGACGGCAAATAGTAGAATTGTGCCTAAGTGATCAAAAAACAATCTATTAGGCATAAAATAACCAGCGTCCAAAATGATGGGTGGAAGCATATAAAAAAAGAATGTATCTGGTGTAAGAGGCGACATGTGAACGCTGTCAGTAACGTGGACCAAAATGACACCAATTACTACTCCCACAAAAATTAGTAGACAAGATTCTGGAAATATCTCGCTTAATTTGGGAGCCATATGGAAACCTGAAATAAAAACAAAACATTTTTAGTATATTTGATTTGTAATTGCGTAAATATTTTAATTTAAAGCAGTAAGGAAATAACAGATCTTTTCTCAGACGTAAAGACCACAAAGTCCTCGATGGGTTATGGTTATTTTGTTATTGACCATTTTCTCACCGATCGTTCAGGAACGATGTACTTATTTCTGAGGCAAAATATATGTGCATTATTTAAACAGACAAATGAACAAATTTTAGCAAAAAAAGAAAGTACAGCAGTTGTGTGACGATATAGTTTTAGCACCAAGAAAATTTTCAGAAAGTTATAAATTTTTATTAAAAGTTGGTAAAGATTTATTTTTCAAAAAGTCTTCAATTAAATTGATAAACGAATTATTTGGTAATATGCAAAGTGATGCTACGGAATATTATTTTTTTTCGCACTGTGGGACAAAATCAGCATGCAATGTTTGTGAAAATATAATGGACGCCTCATTGAAACAAATATTAGATACCCCTGGAATCAGTATGCGACCTCACACTACCGTAAAATGAAAAATTATTTGAAACTTTTTCGAATTATCAATTTGACAAATATTCGCATTTGACCAAATACGGTTACACTCTCTAAACGATTCCAAAAATTTCGAGAACGATAACAAAATTTGTAATCTACTTGCTTTCACAACGAGTGATCAGTAAAATAAATATGTTAAAAGAATTCGACCGAATTTATATAATATAAAATTTGTATTGCTGTTTCCTGCAATTCTACGGCTATAACCCCTATTTCTGCTCATTGTCATAAAACAGTGTTTATACATACTCCACTAAAATATATGCATATTGTATACCTACTGTACATACATTAAATTTAATAAAAGGTCATGTAAACAGCAGTTATACTGGCGATCATTTCACAGTGCACGGTCACTGAACCATGTCTAAAATTTGTCGAAATTAATCCTCTTTATCTTTGACAAAAGTAAAAACAATCCAACAACAACAAAACAGTTGACGATCGCCTTCACTATCCCGAAATAAAAAAAATTATAGCTGGCTTATATGTATAGGTATTTGTGGGATTTGTAGATTAGAATTATCACTACGATAGATGCATGGCCTATGGAGAAAACAAGTCACGGCATGTGCTCTCACAAATATTCTCAATAATGCACCTTTCCAACTGACGGGATTTTTTGGAATTTTACGTCTAAATGTTAATATGTACTGTAGTACAGCAAGCATTTTTGTAAACTTGAGGAAGGTTTAGCTTTAAGCCTCATTCAAACTAACATTTTTAGACTTTTAATTTGATGTTTATATATTTTTATAATTTTAAGTTACAATCTAAAACGAGAAACTGTTGTTATTTGTAACAACCCTTTACATACTTGTAATATAATATTAATTAATTAATAATTAATTATTAGCAAGACATAACTTATACCATTGCACGCCACAAAGAGGGCAGACTTGAAGCACAAACCCTTAAATCTATCCAATACCGAAGAGATCCCCACACCCTACAAACTAGACAACATAATAAGTGGGTTGAAACAAAAACAATTACATGGAAAATTCTTCAAAGAGCTAGACGAAACTCACATCAATACGAAAATGTCATTGATTTGGCTCAAAAAATCAAGTTTATGTGCTGAATTAGAGAGGTTTTTGTTTGCTGTTCAAGACGAAGTAATTATTACGAAGAATTACAGAAAATTTATATTGAAAGAAACGATTGTTGTCGACTTTGTAAAAAAACAAAATCGAAACGATTCCGCACATAATTTCATCCTGTAGCATCCTGGCACAAACTGACTACAAAGCTAAGGCATCCAAAATCATTTATAAGGACTTAACAATAAATCTAAACTTAATCCAAGATACTATACCCTATTACACTTACATTCCATCTCCACTCCTTGAAAACGCCGAATACAAGCAATATTGGGATCGCACAATACTTATAGACAGAAAGATTACAGCCAACAGACCACATATCACACTTATAAAGAAACACACCAGTGAAGCCATTCTCATTGGCATTGCTCTTCCTAATACGCACAACATAATACAAACATAAGTACCTATCACACCAAAAAGGCAATGCTAAATCTTGAGAAAATTTCAATTCTACCTTTAGTTATCTCCAATGTAGGAGTAGTACCTAATAGTTTAGTTGAGAATTTGAAATATTTAGACTTAAATGAGTCAATAATTGTCAAAACCCTGTTTTGTTAGGAACATGAACATGTCATATGGTTCGTACGTTTCTCGAACAGTTCGATCATATCAGTCAGAATAGGTTAGCACCAGTAAGTCAGAGTAGTGTAGGTCACTTTTCAAGTGATGCGTGGATAAATGAACGATAGTTACGTTAGGCTTTTGGGGATGGGGTGATATGAGGGAATTATATAGCAGACGAATTTGTATTCAGTAATTCTAAGATCTTTCAAGTTGGTTTAGTTATTAGTTGTGATAAATTATAGCCATTTGTTAACGCATCCAAGAACTTTGTTTCAATTTTTTTCCCCCATTAATAGGATATTATCGACTTCAGAATATACTGTTTATGTCGTAACCTCTATATGAGTCATTTCCTTGTAAAAAATTTTACGGGGGTTTGAAGACAATTTCTATCGCTACCTAATGTCAGCGTACCGATCATAGCTGTCATCTACAATTAATCGATAAAACTATCATCATTCACTTTTTCTCATATTACATTTTTTAGGATAGATGTTTTATAATACATATAGTGCCAGTTCTTCGGTTCTCGAATTATTGGCATTAGTTTTGCAATCTCTTCTTCTTCGGTTACTGCAACAAAGTCTAACTCACATTCATTTACTAGTTCTGCGAAAAAAACAAATCTAAAGCAAATCCATCTCGCATCATTTAATTCAGAATTGATGCTTTTAATTTGATGGTGTTTTTTGTCGAAAAAAATTATATCGCCGAAACAATATGTTGTCAAATTTCTGTCTTAAAAACTGCTTCCAAAAGCTCAAAGTCAAAGGATAATTTGAATGCCTTGTAACCCAAGATTGTGGTTACTGCTGTGCTTTTTCATTAATGTAACTTTAAATTCATGTTGACGAAATTTTCTCTTCCGTTGTAAGTTTTCTATTACTACTTCTTTTATTTGAATATCTGTTTCGCTTGTTAATGATGTATCTTCGGCGCTGTCATAATGTTTGCCTTGATTTTCTTTAAGTTCGTTAAAAAACTGGGCGTCACAGCAGGTTTTTCTCAGTGCATAAAACTGTGAAAAAATGTACTGCAATTTTCACATTGGACTCGCTTATGAAAAATCATTTTTTCTGATGTCATTTTTTACTTCCCGAGCCTAAGCCAAGAAAGTATTCTAATCGAGTCTATCGGACGATGTTACTTTCATGTTATCTCGACGTTTCATAACCCCCTAGAGTACCTACGAAAAAATAGGTCTCCGCTTTATATCTGTGTGTCGCCTGTCTATTTTTATTAGAAAAATAACCTCCGAAACAGTTAGTAAATATCAAAGACTGCTATGAAATTGTATCGCTAGTTGCATTTTGAATTTTTTAGACCTGGAGCTTCTCGTGATTAACCCTGCATGTACGCTGTCTCAAAATATTGAACAATAAAACAGTTTTTAAATTGATTAAATAAAAAACGATTTATATATTTTTTTTTTAATTCTGGAAAGATAATATGTTGTCATTAGCAGATATAACTATAATGCATAATTGTTCAATTTATCATGTTATCTTAGAATTTATTAAAAAAATTTCATTTGAGACATGCAGTATATCTTTACGTCTGAATTAGTACCCACACTTATTTCTTCATCTATCCCAAAAATTGCCACCATCTCAAACTATTACTAAACAAATTTTTATTATAAATTATGCTTTTAAGTAAGGTTTTCCTTATATGTTAGTAATATTTTGACATTCAAAATAAAAACATAATACATATGTATATGAATAGTTCATTTATGTATTTTTATATTGTTTGATATTTATATTAGAATTCAAATGTCTATCCTTATGAAAAATTAAGAACTGAGAGCCAGAGAAGTTCTTGTTTTTTACATTATTAGTATCACCAAAAAAAATCTTAATTTATTTCATACGTAAAGTATGTTGTTGACAACAGCAGCTGCAGACATCAAATTATCTACAATTGGTGCATATGCTGTTATTAAAATAAATTAATAAACAATTAATCACTGATTCAAATTCTACACAAACATTAATGGTTATTGTTCTTAATAAGTATATTACCTACTATTAAAAATTTAAATCAATTTTCTAAAAATTGCAAATCAAACTTTTTAATACTGACACCAATGCGCAGTTTGTGGGTACAAATCGCAAAGCAACGACGCCTACATAGTGGTGAAAATTGTAAAAATATGTTTTCTAAAAATACCATTAATATAATTTATGATGCTAAAAACTGTAGTTTCTAGAAATACCCTTACTTAATGAAACGTGTTCGCTGCAAACATGCTGATTAATAAATCAATTGTCCGACGCATATCCTCCGCTCAGCAATTTACTTCGTAACATTATGTTAGTTAAAATAAATTAGAATGTTTACATTTCTTTATGCATTAGACATATTTTGTGAACTCGGCCAACGGGAAATGCACCATATTTTTAAAGCAAATTTTAGGTATAATTGATTGAAAAATCATTATTATGGAGTATTCTATTGATTTGGAATTTTAATATAGGTAAGTAAATACAAGTATAAAAACCTAATTAAAACGGAACTTGAAAGATAGCTTTTAAATTCGAATTAAAAACATATGATATTTTACAAAATTTATAAAAACGTAATAGTAACGACATTAAGGCTGATTTAATCCAAGCTTAATTCATGGATTTGTATCAGGTAATTGATTAAAACGAAATTTTGATAAACTATAGATATTTTTTAAACCTGTTATTAGACGGCTTTTGCAAAATATTTTAGATATTTAATATCGATGCCATATACACGTATACTTTAGATGCTGTAAAATCT